GGACTTCCTGCATCCATTGAATTATTATTTGAGAGATGTCTTCATATTTTCTATGTGTTATGGAATCCACAGTACAAGGGAATTAAATTAACGGCAAACTATTTAACAGCCAGTAGGCTGGTGTTTCATTTCTGCAGGGCGTTCAACTCTCACCCAATTTTTTTTTCTTCCCTTGACAGACTGATTTGAAGGGTTTTGTTTTCGTAGATCAGGTAGCATTCCCAGTGCCTGGTTCAGTCCTCAACGTACAACCATTTGTTTAGTGATTGTTCGAAGTTACGACAGCATTGAAAAAAAGTGACTTATGAACATTTTTCACACTTACGACCTTTGCAGCATCCCCAGGGTCACGTGATCCAAATTCAGATGCTTGGCAGCTGGTTCATATTTATGACCGTTGCTGTGTCCCCGGGTTATGTGATCCCTTTTTGTGACCTTCTGACAAGCGAAGCCGTATTCGCTTAACAACCGTGTCCATAACTTAACAACTGCAGTGATTCATTTAGCAACTGTGGCAAGAAACGTCATAACATGAGGCAAAATTCACCTAACAACCATCTTGCTTAGCAATGGGAATTTTTGGCCCAATTGTAGTCATAAGTTGAGGACTACCTGTAGCATTTTGCTCCTTAGGGGCAGAGAGAATTCTTTGATAAGTGGACCCCTTAAAAATTGTTAGAAATTGCCCTTCAAAAAAAAAACATGACAGTCCAGTTGCCTCCTGAAAAAGCACCTTTCGGACAACCATGACGTGGATGACTGAGCATCTCCATAGACATATCCTGGGAAATGGATATTTGCCTTCATCTCCAGTCCTGCCAGGCAAACAACATAGCAATGTGTGGCTTTGAATCAAGGTGTTCCACTTGATGGATGAATTCAAGTTCATAGCAATATTTATGACTGTGTATTCATGGAAAAGATTGCTTCTTGTATTGCTCTAGTGCAGGGATAGGCAACCTTGGCTCTTTTATGACTCGTGGACTTCAACTCCCAGAATTCCTGAGCCAGCATGGCTCAGCTTGGAAACCTCTCCCTGTCCCCTCAGCATGGCTGGCTCAGGAATTCTGGGAGTTGAAGTCCACAAGTCATAAAAGACCCCAGGTTGCCTACCCCTGCGTCTAGGATATCTACAGATAATCCTTAATTTACAACCACCTATCCTCACTGTTATGACCGCCACATCACAACCCCCCCGAGTCACGTGATTGCAATTTGACCACTTTTATTTTTATTTATTTATATTTTGTTTTTCTTGCCCACCCATCTACCTCAGAGCTTCCCTTTGTGGCTTGGCAGCTGACCCACAATTATGACTGTCGCAGTGTCCTGCGGTTAGGTGATTGCAGTTTTCCATCTTCCTAGCCAGTGTCCAAGGAACAAAGTCAATGGAGGAAGACGGATTCACTTAACAGCCATGTGATTCACTTAACAACCCTGTGATTTGCTCAACCGCTGCAGTAAAAATGATCATACGATTGGGCCCAGTCACATGATGATTTGCTTAATGACCACACCACTTAATAATTGAAATCCCCATCCCAAATGTGGTTGTAAGTCGAGGGCTACCCGCACAGGCAGTCCTTGACTTAAGACCACAATTGAGCCCAAAATTTCTGTTGCTAAGTGAGACATAGGTTAAATGAATTTTGCCCAGTTTTAGGAACTTTCTTTCCACAGTTGTTAAGTGAATCACTGCAGTTGTTAAGTTAGTAACACAGTTGAATCTGGCTTCCCCCATTGACTTTGCTTGTCAGAACGTCACAAAAGGGATCATATCACCCTAGGACGCTGCAACTGTCATAAATATGAACCAGTTGCCAAGTGTCCAAATTTTGATAACGTGACGGTGGTTTTCAGAGCTGTTGTAACTTTGAATGGTCACTAAACAAACTGTTGTAAGTTGAGGACTACCTTTTATAAGAAAGAAACAGAGAGAGAGAGAGAGAGAGAGAGAGAGAGAGAGAGAGAGAGAGAGAGAGAGAAAGAAAATTGGAGTTTTGACTCATTAGTGAGGATTAAAATAGAATATACTTAAATAGACAAGATGTGTATTCTGAATACTAGATTTTGTTATCAACTGAGATAAAGAAAACTTTGGCCATTTAAAATTTGGAAGTATAAATATCAAAAGTTAAATTTGAATATTGATTGGTCCATAAAGGTTGAATGTAAAAGTAATGAAGATATATATATATAAGCTCAAAATCTACTGATAAATGTAATAAACATGTTTTTATTTAGCTGATATAATAAGAACTGTACTAGCTTAAATATGAGATAGTAGACACTAAGAGAAAAAGAGAAGTATTTGATGTTGAAACAAGGGAAATTTTGGTTACTAAATTTAAGACATTTGGAAATTAATAGAAAATAAGAACGTTACATTGTATTATTAGTTAGATGATGTAAGACGGTGAGAAATAGAATATATTCAAATAGATAAGACGTGTATCCTGAATATTAGACTTTGTGATGAATTGGGATAAAGGGAACTTTGGTCACTTAAAACTTGGAGATTATAAATATTAAATGTTAAATTTAAATATTAATGGGAAACTAAAAATTGGGAAAAACTGATTAGGACATTGATTGTCTATAAAGACTGAATGTTAAAACAACCAGGATATGTATAAGCTAAAAATTATTGATAAATGTAATAAGAATTGTATTAGTTTAAATATGAGACAGCAAATACTGAGGGGAAAAGAGAGGAAATATTTAATGCGGTAGTTTGAGACTAAAGATGTTTGTATGTCATTGAATTTTCGATTAACTCAGCCACCATGTTACTTTTTAAATACTTAAATGTAAAATTAGAAAATCAATAAAACATAAAAGAAAGAAAGAAAGAAAGAAAGAGAGGAAGGAAGGAAGGAAGGAAAAAAAGAAAGAAAAGAAAGAAAGAGAAAGAAAGAAAGGAAGGAAGGAAAGAAAGAGAGAGAGAGAGAGAGAGAGAAAGAAAGAAAGAAAGAAAGAAAGAAAGAAAGAAAGAAAGAAAGAAAGAAAGAAAGAAAGAAAGAAAGAAAGAAAGATTTCCAGGAAAGACATGAGCTGGTTCCAGCTATATTTTTTTCCTGATCTTTGAATTTCCTACCAGCTTCTTACCAGACATGCTGTCTTGCCCTGCTTTATGGATGAAGACGTAAAGGAACATTTGTAGTCTGACAGCTGTTCATTCCGAATCCCTCATAGCCAGAAATAAACCAGAATGAACAAGGGATACAGAATGGAAAGGGTAGGATGGGACAATTCTCCCGTCAAATTCCTTGTTGTAAAACAAGTTACAGTAGAGAAGTGGATGGTCAGAAAAGAACTACATAACCTATGGTGTGCTAGACTGCATCCATGATTACGCTTATAAATGGGACAGGGGAGATCTCAAAGTCAATGTGTGTCTCCTCTCTTCTGAAAACCATGTTTTAGAGACCGAGTGCCCAAAACATGGCCCCACCTGCCCCACTCCACTCCCACTCTGCCCCATCCCACCAGCTCCCACCCTATCCCAGCCTCGCCCGTCCACAGGGCCACCCACTGCCTCCACAGATTGCCCAGGCGGCCCAGTAGCGCCATGGTGGCCAGGCCCTCCACCCGTGCTCTGCAGCATCATCTGTGCGCGACAGGGCACGAGGGCGGAGTCTTGTCCCCGCTGCCCAGCTGCCATGTCCTTGGTTGTGCTACTCCGCGTGGGCTGTGCTCAGGGGTGACTCTCCTCTGGGGGGGCTGCTGGTGAGGCCACGGGGGGGGGCTGGGGCGACGGCGCAAGTTCCCACAGAGAGGGCTCTGAGTGCTGCCTCTGGCACTCGTGCCATAGGTTTGCCACCACTGATGTAGATCTTAAAAAGTTCTCCTTAAATTTACATTAAAGGTAGTCCTCAGCTTAAAACAGTTCGTTTAGTGACCATTCGAAGTTACTGAAAAAAGTGACATGATTGTTTTTCACACTTAACGACCGTTGCAGCATCCCCCAGGGTCACATGATCAAAATTCAGATGTTTGGCAACTGACTTGCATTTATGACAGTTGCAGTGTCCCCGGGTCACGCGATCCCCTTTTACGACCTTCTGACCAGCAAAATCAGTGGGGAGGCCAGATTCACTTAACAATCAAGTTATATACCCACTTAACAGCTGCTGCGATTCACTTAACAATGGTGGCAAGGAAGGTCGTAAAATGGGGCAAAACTCACTTAAATGTCTCACTTTAGCAACCGTAATTATGGGCTCAGCGGTGGTCGTAAGTTGAGGACTACTTGTATAGTTTTAGTGCAGTGATGGCGAAACTATGGCACACGTGCCAGAGGTGGCACTCAGAGCCCTCTCTGTGGGCACGCACGCTGTCGCCCCAGCTCCGCCTCACCCTGCAGCCCCCTCCTTACCAGCAGCCCCCCTGGAGGAGAGTTGCCCCTGGGCGCGGCCCGTGCAGAGCAGCGCAGCCAAGCAAATGGCAGCCAGGCAGCAGGGACAAGACTCCACCCTCGCGCCCCGTCACGTGCAGATGATGCATTGGGGCGCGGGCGGAGGGTGTGGCCAACATGGCACTGCAAGGCCGCCTGGGTGATCTGCGGCGGGCTGTGGAGGTGGTGGGTGGCCGGGTGGGTGGGGTAGGGGACGGAGTGGGGGTGGGCAGGGGGGCAGTACAGGGCGGGGGGCGGAGCCGGGGCAGTTTGGGGGCACTCGGTCTCTAAAAGGTTCGCCATCGCTGTTTTAGTGTATTGTTTTTCTCTTGTTTTTAATTGTTGCCCACCAGACATGCATTTGGGTCACTATGCAAATTGAATAAATAAATATTGTGCTTTTTTTTTTTTTTAGAAAAAAAACCAAAAGAGACGCGGGGGGAGCAACAGTGCAAATAAGCAGGAGGAGGAGGCAGTGAAAAATGGGGCAATTGAAGCCATCGGTCGGATTGATTTTTTTTTTAAGTTTCATATTTTGAAAAATTAATTTTAACATTTTCTGTCTCTCTCTCTCTCCCCTTCTTCTTCTTCTTCTTCTCCTCAGGAGGCTCAATTCTCTTCCGAGCTAGCTTCTGAGCTTGGTATGGATAATGGTAGAGCGGTGGAAGGTCAAGTAGGGTTGAAACAGAAAGATGCGGAGATCAGAGTCCATGGACGTATCCTTCCAGAGGTGGGCAATTTGTGTCTTGGCTGTGTTGTAACTGCAGCGGCCATGAATCAACTCCATACAGGTAGTCCTCGACTTACAACAATTCATTTAGTGACTGTTCACAGTTACAACGGCCCTGAAAACATGACTTAGACCAGGGGTAGGCAACCTCGGCTCTTTTATGACTCATGGACTTCAACTCCCAGAATTCCTGAGTCAGCTATGCTGACTCAGGAATTCTGAGAGTTGAAGTCCATGAGTCTTAAAAGAGCCAAGGTTGCCTACCCCTGACTTAGACTGTTTTTCACACTGACAACCGTTGCAACATCCCCATGATCATGTGACCAAAATTCAGACACTTGGCAAATGACTCATATTTATGACAGTTGGAATGTCCCGGGGTCATGTGATCTCCTTTTGTGACCTTCCGACAAGCAAAATCAATGGAGAAGCCAGATTCACTTAATAGCTGCGTTACTAACTTAACAGCTCTTTTTTAGAATAGAATAGAGCTGGAAGGGACCTTGGAGGTCTTCTAGTCCAGCCCCCTGCTCGAGCAGGAGAACCTATACCATTTCAGACAAGTGACTGTCTAGTCTCTTCTTAAAAATCTCCAGTGATGGAGCGCCCACGATTTCTGGAGGCAAGCTGTTCCACTGGTTAATTGTCCTCTGTTAGGAAGGTTCTCCTTAATTCCAGGTTGCTTCTCTGTTTGATCATCCAATCATTGTTTCTTGTCTTGCCCTCTGGTGCTTTGGTGAATAACATGACCCCCTCTTCTTTGTGGCAACCCCTCAAATACTGAAATACTGCTATCACGTCACCCCTGTTTCTTCTTTTCTTTAGACTAGCCAAACCCAAGCCCTGCAGCCGTTCTTCGTATGTTTTAGTCTCCAGGCCTTGGATCATCTTAGTTGCTCTTCTCTGAACTTTTTCCAAACTCCTAACACCTTTTTTGCAGTATGGTGACTGAAATTGGCTGCAGTATTCCAGGTGTGGCCTTACTAAGTGATCGTCCACTAGGACTACAAGGTCCCTCTCACAATTACTGTTTTTGAGCTAGGTCTCGCCCAATCTTTACTTATGTCTTTGATTTTTCCTGCCTAAATGTAAGACTTTACTTTTCTCAGCTGCAACAATTCACTTAACAACTGTGGTAAGAAAAGTCATAAAGTGGGGCAAATCTTACTTAACAAGTGTCTCGCTTAGCAACATAAATTTTGGGCTCAAATGTAATCTTAAGTCGAGGAGTGTCTGTAAAAGTCAAATGAGCAACAAGCTTAAAAGTAGCAGCAAAAGAATATTATTTTTTTTACAAAAAGTCAGCATTTCTCCCTTAAAACTGTAGGCAGGGTGTATACATTAAAGTACCAAGCATTTTGTGCAATTTACGCATTGGGAAATAAATGTTTCAGTGCCGTTACTGAAAAGGCTTTGTGGAAATTAATTGTGTTGATGTCCAAAAGCAGAATTGCAGCATAGAAAATGACTCCTGAACAAAGAGATAGGAGCCAATGTTCCTATATAGGGAGTCCTCAACTTATGACCACATTTCTGTTGCTAAGTGAGACATTTGTTAAATGAGTTTTGCCTCATTTTATGACCTTTCTTGCCACAGTTGTTAAGTGAACCCTGTATGTGTTAAGTTAGTAATACAGTTGTTAAGTGAATCTGGCTTCCCCATTGACTTTGCCTGTTGGAAGGTTACAAAAAGTGATCACATGACCCCGGGCCACTGCAACCGTCATAGATATGAACCAGTTGCCAAGCGTCTGAATTTTGATCACGTGTCCAGGGGGATGCTTCACTGGTCCTAAGTATGAAAAACGGTCACGAGTGGCTTTTTTCAGTGCCGTTGTAACTTCGAACCGTCATTAAATGAACTGTTGTAAGTCGAGGACTGCCTGTATGTCCTCTTGTTCCTCTCTTGTGGTTTGAATCTTGTGGGTACAAGTCTGAGTCTCTGATTCTTACTCTATATCGGGGTCTCCATCCTTGGCAACTTTGAGACTTGTGGACTTCAACTCCCAGAATTCCCCAGCCTGAATGGGTGGGTGAGGAATTCTGGGAGCTAACATCCATAAGTCTCAAAGTTGCCAAGTTTGGAGACCCCAGATGACCTTGAGAATTTTTTTGTTGTGCATCCCAATCCTGCTAAAGACTCAGACTTAGGTCGGTTGAAGACTTACTGGGTGCTTTCATGTAATAGGCCAGTGGTGGCGAACCTATGGCACGCGTGCCAGAGGCGGCACAGAGCCCTCTCTGTGGGCACGCGTGCCATCGCCCCAGCCCCGCCTCCCCCGTGGCGTGTTCCTCATCATCAGCCCCCCCAGAGGAGAGTCACCCCCGAGTGGCCCGCGCGGAGCAGCGCAGCCAAGGACCTGGTGCTGCACACGCTCCATCGTGTGCAGTTGATGCTGCGGGGCGTAGGTGGAGGGCGTGGTCACCATGGCGCTGCTGGGCCGCCTGGGCAATCTGTGGAAGTGGTGAGTGGCCCTGGGGGCGGGCGGGGCTGGGGGCCCGGCAGGGGCAGAGCCGAGCGGGTGAGGCAGTGGCGGTTTTTGGGCACTCGGTCTCTAAAAGGTTCGCCATCATTGTAATAGGCAAAGCTTGTTTGGGTTACCCTTGATTAGGTATTTTGTGGCTGAGCATGCTAAGCCAGCTTTGCCTGTGTCATTGTAAGTCATTAATCCATTAGAACAGTGGTTCTCAACCTTTTTAATGCTGCGACCCCCAACCGGTCGTAAGTCGAGGACTAAACCGGTCGTAAGTCGAGGACTAAACCGGTTGTAAGTCGAGGACTACCCAACCGGTCGTAAGTCGAGGACTACCCAACCGGTCGTAAGTCGAGGACTTTACCTGCCCGGGAGCGCCATACATACGTGATTCCGCCCCCTGCGCCGGCCGAGGCATAGCTGGCAAGTGGCAGAGATGGAGCAGGCCGACCACCAGCTGGCCCAGCTCAAGGGAGGTAAGGCACCCGCCGGAAAAGGGGAAAAAAATGGCGGACAGCCTTGCTTGGCGACCCCCATGAAATGGTCAATCGACCCCAAATGGGGTCGCGACCCATAGGTTGAGAACCGCTGCATTAGAAATTCTCATGTAAAATGATTAAGTATCCCCATTTGAAAATATTGTACAAAGTTTTTGTTACCAGCTTTAAAGCAAGATAAACTTACCACTTACTTCCATTTAAAAAAAAGTCTGCTGTTTCTTGTGAGAGAGAGACAGAGAGAGTCCTAGCTGTTATTTTTCTGTTGCATGATTGGGTCTCTAACATGTTTTGGTTTTCTGTTCCAGAGTACTGAACAGAAAAAAAGTGTGATCAACTCCTTGGTGTCTGGGGCATTGGCTGGCGCTGTGGCCAAAACAGCCGTGGCACCGTTGGACAGGACAAAAATCATTTTCCAAGGTAGACATGGGAGAAGGGAGGAGAAATGGGGGAATCTTCCTATCTTTCTAAGTTGCGGAAGCAATCCTGGCTCCTTTTAGATCAGTTTTTCAGATTTGACAACTTTACGATGTGTGGACTTTAACTCCCAGAATTCCCTACCCATCGTGCTGGCTGGGGAATGCTGGGAGTTGAGGTCCACACATCTTAAAGTTGCCAAGTTTGAAAAACCTTGATTTAAATGCATGGACTTCAGTTCCCAGAATTCTCAGTAGTAGCCCTGGGGGTTGAGGAATTCTGGGATTTGAAGCTTGTAGATCTGTATGGCCCCCAGTTTGGACAAACCATTGCATTTATTCCTGGCTTGTCATTACTGTAACCCAGGGGTCCCCACCCCCGGTCCATGGACCGGTACTGGGCCTCAGCATGCCAGCAACTGGTCCGCACAAACAAGCAAAGCCCCATCCACGAGATGTAGGCAATACACAAAACCACGCACCCTCCAGTCAGGGAAAAACCTCTCTCCACGGAACTGGTCCCTGGTGCCCAAAAGGTTGGGGACCTTTGCTCTAACCAGCTTAGAAGCCAGATTTGACTGCTGCCTTTGCATTCTGGCTTGATAATGAAACTAAATAGCAGGATTTGGAAAGACTGCATGCTTTTTTTAATCCTGGTTAATTTGTAATTAGTTTGTTCAGCCATCTTTGCAGAGGGCCTTTGACAAGCCAGGCATCTGAAGATTTAAGGTTTAATAGTTTATGAAATCAAGGCCAGCATATTCTTTAAAAGCATTTAGATTCTTCATTTAAATGCTTTAGAGCAGAGGTGGGGAACCATGGCCCCTTTATGACTTGCGGACTTCAATTCCCAGAATTCCTGAGACAGCCTGGCTCTCCTGCTTTAGAGCATATCTAATAATGTTGTTTCTTATTATTTTGGACATGTGGTGATAGTTTATAATTTACAGTTTCCTTTGGATCCACTGCTTTGTTTCTTTTTTTTAATATTCAGATAAAACTTTCTTTTCTATAAATCAATTATTCACTAACCTGCATTGTGGGATGGTACAGAAGACAGTAAAGGACTTGGTTTCTGATCTCTTCTATCCTCTCAACCTGTTCTAGTTGTCTGACTCCTCCTTAAATATTTGGAAACCAGAGTTGGACATACCGTTTGAGGTGGGATTCTGATTAATGGAGAATGGAGACAGTTTTGAAATCCTCCTGTCATCTACAGAACAAAATTGATAAGCGTGTTCCTCCATCTTCTCACCGTAGCTTGTCATAAAAATGTTGAACAGCACAGGACTAAGAACTGGATCTTGTAGCAGCCTACTACACCCATGTTTCTCAGCCTTGGTAACTTTAAGATGTGTGGACTTCAATTCCCAGAATTCCCCAGCCAGCATTCTGGGAGGCAAAGTCCACATGTCTTAAAGTTCTCGAGGTTGAGAAACACTGGTATAGGCCATGAGTAGGCAACCTTGGCTCTTTTATGACTTGTGGACTTCAACTCCCAGAATTCCTGAGCCAATATAGCTCAGCATGGAAACCTCGCCCTTTCCCCTCAGCATGGCTGGCTCAGGAATTCTGGGAGTTGAAGTCCATGAGTCATAAAAGAGCCAAGGCATAAAAGAGCCACGGCATTAAAAAGGTTCTCAACCTTTTTAATGCCGTGACCCCCAACCAGTCATAAGTCGAGGACTAAACCGGTTGTAAGTCGAGGACTACCCAACCGGTTGTAAGTCAAGGACTTTCCCTGCCCGGGAGTGCCGCGCATGCGTGGTTCCGCCCCCTGCGCCGGCCGAGGCGTAGCTGGCAAGCGGCAGAGACAGAACAGGCCGACCACCAGCTGGCCCAGCCCAAGGGAGGTAAGGCACCCGCCGGAAAAGGGGAAAAAAATGGCGGACAAAAAAAATGGCGGACAGCGTTGCTTGGCGACCCCCGTGAAATGGTCAATTGATCCCAAATGGGGTCCCGACCCACAGGTTGAGAACCCCTGGCCTATACCATACCTGTCTCCAGGCTAATGTGGACCTGTTGAGACATTAGATGCCAATTCACAAAGGCAGTGGAGATGGTTCTCTTCCTTGGGGATGCGGTCTGGGTGTTCCAAACCAGAGTCTGACTGACTGCAAAGATGCTGGTTTGTGGCACGGATTAGTCTGCCCATAGAGTTCTTACTTGCAGTGCTGATGTGCGTATGGCTTCTTTTTTTTCTTTCTGTTTTCAGTGTCGTCGAATCGGTTTTCTGCTAAGGTAAGATGAAACGTCCTTCTCTTTTCTAAGCTTCCTTGCAGGTTGAGCAGTTGGGAAGGATTAAATCTCACCGAATTGATCCCATGGGTGGGTCTCACCTTAACACACCTCTGTTCTGCCCCTCCTTTTGGCTTCTTAAGAGCCAGTGAAAATTAGTCAAAACAGAACTACTATAAAACGGTAGGCATATGTATGTGCCAATTGAAGTAAAATCTTGGGGCAAAATTCCAGCAAAAGAATAGACGTTAAAACAGGAATTCAACCCTCATAAGGAGACTTTGTAGCTGGTTGCTAACTCCCAACACAGAGAAAAAGTAGGCTTTACTTTGTGTAAAGAGGCAGATAGCGGGATGTGACATTGACGTATCATAAAGTAGCATCTGAGGGGCCTAGGAGTCATTAGGGGCAAAAATTCCCAATGTTTCTGCTGGACTTTGGCAATGGGTTCTTCTATCTTGTTTTGCATGCTTGCTCGCTCTCCACTGTGGCTTAAAGGAATAGTTATTGCCAGATTGACCAGCTGCTGCTGCTGCTGCTGCTGCTGCTGCTGCTGCTGCTGCTGCTTCTTCTTCTTCTTCTTCTTCTTCTTCTTCTTCTTCTTCTTCTTCTTCTTCTTCTTCTTCTTCTTCTTCTTCTTCTTCTTCTTCTTCTTCTTCTTCTTCTTCTTCTTCTTCTTCTTCTTCTTCTTCTTCTTCTTCTTCTTCTTCTTCTTCTTCTNCTCCTCCTCCTCCTCCTCCTCCTCCTCCTCCTCCTCCTTCTCTATTCTTTCTGGAGTAAGTTCCTTCTGACAGCTCCCTCAGTGTTGGCATCTGCTTTTCTGGGCTTATCATGATCCAACGGTCTTGTGGCAGTTCTGCAGCATGTTGAGACCTCACATATATATTGCCATCAGTGAAAGAAAGGCAGAAACCAACCCATTCTGTGGGAGTTTGGTTGGGGCAACCAGAAGAACACGTTGAGGAGACACCAGTGAATCGTAACCATCTTTTGTCTGAAAACTCCCTACATCCTACCTGCCCTGCCCCAACCTTTCCTCTCCAGATTCCCTCTTAAAAATTCACAGCTCCTTTGTCTTTTCAAGCGTGTCATCCCTGACCCAGCTCCTTCTCTATCCAGGAGGCCTACCGGCTGATCTATCGTACCTACCTCAGTGAAGGCTTCTTCAGCCTATGGCGAGGCAACTCGGCCACCATGGTTCGGGTGATCCCCTACGCTGCCATCCAGTTTTGTGCACACGAGGAGTACAAGCAGCTTTTGGGCAGCTACTATGGCTACCAGGGAAAGTAAGTTGCGATGGAGCATCAGTCTCCTTAAAGGTCTTGGCCTGAGCACGTGGGAAAGGTATTGTCAGGTACAAGAAGTCAGGAACCAGGATAGAGTTCAAAAACAACAGTTATTGTTGATCAGAACAAAGAATACAGGTGAAAGTCTGGGGCGATTCTCAGTCACCCAGGTCACGGTTGTCCCAAAGATGCTTTTTCCAGAGGCATCTGGACTTTCTTTGTTTTTCTTTGAAGACGTTTCACTTCTTATCCAAGAGAAGAGCAACAAAGATGATCAGGGGACTGGAGGCTAAAACGTATAAGGAACGGTTGCTGGAATTGGGTATGTCTAGTTTAACGAAGAGAAGGACGAGGGGGGGACATGATAGCAGTCTTCCAATATCTCAGGGGCTGCCACAAAGAAGAGGGAGTCAAGCTATTTTCCAAAGCGCCTGAAGGCAGGACAAGAAGCAACAGATGGAAACTAATCAAGGAGAGAAGCAACCTAGAGCTAAGGAGAAACTTCCTGACAGTTAGAACAATTAACCAGTGGAACAACCTGCCTCCAGAAGCGGTGAATGCTCCAACACTGGAAGTTTTTAGGAAAAGACTGGACAGCTGTTTGTCCGAAATGGTGTAGGGTTTCCTGCCTGAGCAGGGGGTTGGACTAGAAGACCTCCAAGGTCCCTTCCAACTTTATTATTATTATTATTGTTGTTGTTGTTGACAAAAAAAGTCCAGATGCCTCTTGCAAAAACACCTTTGGGACAATACAGGTGAAATACATGGCAGAGTCATGTCTCTCTGACTTACATTTCCAACCGTGAAACCCCAATTATTGTGATTTATAAATTTTGATTCATTGCTTAGCCTGATGTATGCCAGCTGTACTTTAGTGCCAAGGGAACAGAGCCAGAATTTTGGAATGAACAATATAACTGGCTGACAAACCGTACTCAATAAGTAGTCCTTAATGAAACTACATCTACATGGAGGAAAGTAAGTAGTGGGGTATCACAAGGTTCCGTCTTAGGCCCGGTACTCTTCAATATCTTCATAAATGACTTAGATGAGGGAATAGAAAGGGAACTCATCAAATTTGCAGATGACACTAAACTGGCAGGAATAGCCAACACCCCAGAAGACAAACTCAGGTTCCAAAAAGATCTTGATAGACTTGAACAATGGGCCCTGTCCAACAAAATGATATTTAATGTGGAGAAAAGCAAGGTTTTACACCTGGGCAGGAAAAACCAAAGATACGAGTACAGATTGGGCGAGACTTGGCTTAAAAACAGCAACTGTGAGAGGGACCTTGGAGTCCTAGTGGACGATCACTTAAATATGAGCCCGCAGTATGCGGCAGCCACCAAAAAAGCTAATACAATCCTGGCATAGAATCAAGATCACGCGAAGTATTAGTACCGCTTTATAAAGCCTTAGTAAGGCCACACCTGGAATACTGCATCCAGTTTTGGTCACCACATTACAAAAAAGATGTTGAGACTTTGGAAAAAGTGCAAAGTTGAACAACTAAGATGATTAAAGGCCTGGAGACTAAAACATACGAAGAATGGTTCCAGGAATTGGATATGGCCAGTCTAGAGAAAAGAAGGGGGGGCATGATAGCAGTATTCCAGAATTTGAGAGGCTGCCACAAAGAGGAGGGGGTCAATTTATTTTCCAAAGCACCAGAGGGCAAGACAAGAAACAATGGTTGGAAACTGATCAAAGAGAGAAGCAACCTGGAATTAAGGAGAAACTTCCTAACAGTGAGGACAATTAACCAGTGGAACAGCTTGCCTTCAGAGGTTGTGGGTGCTTCATCACTGGAGATTTTTAAGAAGAGACTGGACAGCCACTTGTCTGAAATGGTATAGGGCAGTGGTGGCAAACCTATGGCATGCGTGCCAGAGGCGGCACTCAGAGCCCTCTCTGTGGGCACGTGCGCCATGCCCCGGAGATGGCAATCGTCCCTCTTCAACCAGCCGCTCGCTAACTGGCCGAGGTCCCACATGGCTGCATGCATCCCAGCAGCCATGCGCTCGCTGGCCTCTGTGTGTAGGGGCCGATGGTGTCAGGCAGCAGCTGCCCCGGCCCCTGCCTCACCTTTCCCTGTGACAATGGCACCCCCGCCCTGCCTTGCCTTACCTCGCCTTGCCCCACAGGACGAGCCTCCTGCCCACCGCCCCACCTGCCAGAGACCCCCCTGGATCTCCCCCAACCCTGCCCGGCCCCCACAGGCATCCCTCCCCACGAGCAACATCGAGGTGATCACACCCACATTGGCCACACCCACCCAATCTGCCATGACCACCACAGCCACGCCCGTCCAGTGGGCCACGCCCACCTGGCACCCGGCGATAAATAAGTGGGTTTTGGGTTGCAGTTTGGGCACTCGGTCTCTAAAAGGTTCGCCATCACTGGTATAGGGTCTCCTGCTTGAGCAGGGAGTTGGACTAGAAGACCTCCAAGGTCCCTTCCAGTTCTGTTCTTATTCTGATTCAGTTTGGAACCTTTTTTGTCCAGTCGGTTTAGAATCTAGATAGCCAACAACCAAATTATTCTTTTGTTTCAGGGTACTCACCCCTCTGCCCAGATTCGTCGCAGGCTCTCTGGCAGGAATCACAGCTGCCATGTTGACATACCCCCTGGACCTGGTTCGTGCCCGCATGGCAGTGACGCCGAAGGAAATGTAAGTGATTGGAGATTTGATGCTCATGTGCTTAAGAAGGGACATGAGGTGTATTCTTTCACTCTTATTGTTCCTAAAAACCTATACCAGGGGTCTTCAAACTTGGCCACTTGAAGACTTGTGGACTTCAACTCCCAGAATTCCTCAGCCAGCTAGCTTGGCTGGCTGGCTGAGGAATTCTGGGAGTTGAAGTCCACAAGTCTTCAAGTGGCCAAGTTTGAAGACCCCTGACCTATACAGATAGTCCTTGACTTACCACAGTTCCTTGAGTGACCCTTTGAAGTTACAATAGCCCTGAAAAAAGTGACTTATGACCGTTTCTCACACTTACGACCGTTGCAGCATCCGCAGGGTTACGTGATCGAAATTCAGAACGGGCTCGTATTTATGACCGTTGCAGCATCCCGGGTCACGTGACCCCTTTTTGTGACCTTCTGACAATCAAAGTTATTGGGGAAGCCAGGTGAATAACGTATAATGAAAGGCTGGAGCATAAATGCTCATCTAAGGGAAGATTGTTGCTTTTCTCACATTCCAAGCCAAAAAAAAAAAAAAAGATTTGCCAAAAGGAAATAAATGTCTTCTACAAAGTTTTCTTCTACTCCAGGACAGTGATTGGTTCAATACAGGTAGTCCTCAACTTACAACAGTTCACTTAGTGGCCGTTTGAAGTTACAACGGCACTGAAAAAAATGACATGACCATTTTTCACACTTATGACCGTTGCAGCATTCCCGGGGTCATGTGATTCACATTCGGATAATAATAACAGTAATAGTAATAGTAATAGATGTGGCAGTGCCTGGAGACAGCAGAATAGACGAGAAAGAACTGGAGAAGATAACAAAATACAAAGACCTACAAATAGAAATAGAAAGACTGTGGCAAAGGCAAGCAACGGTAGTACCAATAGTAATAGGCGCCTTGGGTGCAATCCCAAAACAACTGGAGCACCACTTGAACACCATTGGCATTGACAAATTCGCCATTAGTCAATTGCAAAAGGCGGCCTTACTAGGAACTGCTTCCATCCTGGGATGATATCTGTAATACCATCAAACATTCACATCTGCCTATCCCAGGACTCGATAGGTAGACAAAATGCCAAATCCAGTCTGAACATCTGGCTGACTGTGCGATGATCAATAATAATAATAATAATAATAATAATAATAATAATAATAATAATAATAATAATAATAATAATAATAATAATAATAATAATAAATTTGGAAGGGACCTTGGAGGTCATCTAGTCCAACCCCCTGCTCAGGCAGGATGCTTGGCAACTGATTCACATTTATGACAGTTGCAGTGTCCCAGGTTCACGTGATCACCTTTTGCAACCTTCTGACAAGCAAAGTCAATGGGGAGACCAGATGCGCTGAACAAGCGCGTGTTACCAATTTAATAACTGCAGTGATTTACTTAACAAATGTGGCAAGAAAAGTCGTAAAATGGGACAAAACTCACTTAACAAATTTCTCACTTAGCAACATAAATTTTGGGCTCCGTTGTGGTGGTAAGTTGAAGACTACCTGTAATGTACTCAAGTACTAAATAGTTTGCTTGCTCATAGTTTACTTGGTGAATCCAGTCAAGTATCTTAGGGATCTACTAACCACAGTGACAAAAAATATATATGACAAAACTGTAGTGGAATGTAGTCTGGATTCCCAGGAGGGAGGGATAAGGGATGCCTTGTGGTTGACCACGTTCCCCCTCCATAGACATCTTGTGAGAGTACTCACAAAAGGTTCAGCCTATGCTAATATAAACAAAGATGACCAATATGGCCAGCCTGCCAACACATTAAGTTCCCCACCCGTGGGAGATTCCCTAAAACAGCGGCACGTCCCTTGCAACTGGGACAGGCATAGATTCTTAGGACTTTCGCCCTTCAAACTTCTTTCTAACTTTTGTCTGATGTTGTCAGGATTCTAGTCCACAATGTAGCCTATTTCATTTTTCCTTGGCAGGTACAGCAACATAATTCACGTATTTATGCGAATATCTCACGAGGAAGGATTGAAGACCCTATACAGGGGCTTCTCCCCTACCATTTTGGGGGTGATCCCTTATGCTGGATTGAGCTTTTTCACTTATGAGACACTGAAGAAGCTGCACGCAGGTAAGGACAATCCAGCTGATAGGAATTATATGCAGGGGGCCCTTACCTTGCAACCATTTGTTTAGGGACCATTCAAATTTAACAACAGCGCTGAAAAAAAGAGTGATCCTTGCACTAATGACCATCACAGCGTCCCCATAAACACGGGATCAAAACTCAGGCACTTGGCAACTGGCATGTGTTTACAGTGGTTGCAGCATCCTGGGTCATGTGATGCCATTTGTGACCTTCCCAGCCGGCTTCCAACAAGCAAAGTCAATAGGGGAAGCGAGATTCGTTTAACCACACTGCATGATTTACTTAACATTGCATTGATTCACTTAACAATCGTGGCAGAAAAAAAAAAACCTTGTAAAATTGAGCATGACTCACTGTCTAGCCCAGGGTAGGCAACCTTGGCTCTTTTATGACTCGTGGACTTCAACTCCCAGAATTCCTGAGCCAGCATGGCTCAGCTTGGAAACCTCTCCCTTTCCCCTCAGCATGGCTGGCTCAGGAATTCTGGGAGTTGAAGTCCACGAGTCATAAAAGAGCCAAGGTTGCCTACCCCTGAGATAGACTCTAATGCCTCTCTCAGGTCACTCCTACAGGATTCTATAATAGAGAAAGCTAAACCTTCACCTGAATTATTTGCAGCAATCCCTATGCCTCACTTATTTGCCACTCTTTTATTATTTATTTTCAGTCCCCATGTGTCCTTCAGGGAGCTTGGGGCAAGCAGCCTGGTTGATTCAAATGGAAGATTAGGTGGCCCCGTGAATGCTGTGGCTGAACTGGCATTTCCTAGTTCCTGTTTGATATGCTTAACCATATGCTGGATCCTTATTGGTCTACCTGAAAAGCTTGTATTGTATTGTGAAGAGAGAAAGTTGAAGGAGATATTTTCTTCTCTTTTCCCCAGTTCTTCTCTATGATATCTTGGCTCTTAAGCTCAGTCCTGGCCTCAAGGATTCTTTAGAATGTGCCTCTCCCGGATAAAGAGCTACTTTGGAAACCAGGAAACTCTGAGTTCTAGTCCTGCTTTAGGCACAAAAGCTAGCTAGGTGACTTTGGGCCAATCACCAGGAGACTGTGAGTTCTAGTGTCGCCTGAGGCATGTAAGCCACCTGGGTGATTTTGGGCCAATCACCAGGAGTCTGTGAGTTCTAGTGTCGCCTGAGGCATGTAAGCCACCTGGGTGACTTTGGGCCAATCACCAGGAGACTGTGAGTTCTAGTGTCGCCTGAGGCATGTAAGCCACCTGGGTGACTTTGGGCCAATCACCAGGAGACTGTGAGTTCTAGTGTCGCCTGAGGCATGTAAGCCACCTGGGTGACTTTGGGCCAATCACCAGGAGACTGTGAGTTCTAGTGTCGCCTGAGGCATGTAAGCCACCTGGGTGATTTCGGGCCAATCACCAGGAGTCTGTGAGTTCTAGTGTCGCCTGAGGCATGTAAACCACCTGGGTGACTTTGGGCCAATCACCAGGAGTCTGTGAGTTCTAGTGTTGCCTGAGGCGTGAAAGCCAGTTGGGTGACTTTGGGCCAGTCCCCTCCCTCTCGGCCCAACCAACCTCACAGGAAAAATTACGAGGATGTAGGTGAGTTGGATATATTCGTCACCCTGAGTTATTGTAAAAATAGTAAAGGTGAGATACAAATAAACAACGACCGACAGAAATCTGTTGTATTTCTAAGCATCTCTACAGGGTCTCCTTTTCTTTTTTCCTCTCCAGAACACAGCGGGGGGAGAGAGCCCTATCCCGTGGAAAGGCTTGTGTTTGGGGCTTGTGCAGGCCTGATTGGGCAGTCGGCCTCTTACCCTCTGGATGTGGTCCGTCGACGGATGCAGACCGCAGGGGCGCTGGGCTACACCTACGGGTCTATCTTCGTCACCATGAGGGACATCATTCGGGAAGAGGGACTCATCCGAGGCTTGTACAAAGGGCTGAGCATGAACTGGGTCAAGGGTCCCATTGCCGTAGGCATCAGCTTCACCACCTTTGATCTCATGCAGATTCTCCTCCGTAAATGGGAGCGCAGCATGAACGTGCAGAGGTAACGCCAAACCGCCGCCCCGGTTCCTTGTGGAGAGGGAGTGGCCACCACGGTGGCGCCAGTGCTGACGGACGAGGATGGACAATCCTCCTTTTTTTAACCCCCTTTCCCCGATCCCAGATGAGAGATTCTCACGGTAGATCTGAATGACCTCGGAGAAATCTGTTTCAGACACACAGATTCCTCTAAACTGTGGCCATCTCCTCTCTGGTTTCCAGATAATGAATGTGCAAAGAAATAATAGTAGAAATCAGCGCAGGATTTTCACTGTTTTTATGACGTGATCTACACACCCCTGAATTTTCCGAATGGGGGAGAAAAGGGGGACTCGTTCACTGCTAGCCTCATCACAGGAGGCAGCAGCTGATGTGGTTTTATCCGTGTCAACCTTTTTTTCCCCCCCAACTCTTCCCCACTCCCCTTTTATTTTTTTTTAAATTTGTCCACAACTCTCCTCACATATCATTCATTACCTCTTGGAAGGGCAGTGCCAGATTGGGATGGGAATGTTTTTCCATAGAGTTGACTAAAAAAAAAAAAAAAGACGGACACTTCCTCTGGCATTTTTGTTTGCTGGAAACCAGGGAGATCCTTAGCTGGGAAACTCAATCTTAAATCAACAGTTGTTCAGGTTGTCATTTTCCAGAGCAGCATTTTTAAATAAAAGATTTTGTGTTTTGTTTTTTTTTGTTTTTCAAAGAAATTTTAAAAAAAAGCAACAACTTACCAGATAGGTTTTGCTTTCCATGGGAGATGGCTCACTCTGAGGAAAACATTACCAGTACGCAGTGTTAACTGGAAACGCTTGCTGTCTTGATAGGCCAGGGGGTCTTCAAACTTGGCCCTTTTGTGACTTGTGGACTTCAACTCCCAGAATTCCTGAGCCAATATGGCTCAGCTTGGAAACCTCTCCCTTTTCCCTCAGCATGGCTGGCTCAGGAATTCTGGGAGTTGAAGTCCAGAGTCATAAAAGAGCCAAGGTTGTCTACCCCTGATCTAGACTAATAGTTCAAGGACAGGTTCGCCTTCCCTACTTGGAACCTAGCCAAGGTTTTCTTTGGTCTAATAATAATTTGAAAAAAAAGGTCAATACAAACCGGCCGTCCTAAACAGCACTTTTCCTGTTGCTGCCAACTTTCCAGTGCTGAACAAGGTGATTTTTAGCAAATGCTCAGTGCTGTTTTTCCAGGGTAACAGGTGAGATGGCTGACTGGTGTCTTTGCTGTATTTGAATGTGCCTTTAGAACAGGGCTCTTCAAACTGGGCCCTTGTATGATTTGTGGACTTCAACTCCCAGAATTCTTCAGCCAGCATGCCTGGCTGAGGAATTTTGGGTGTTGAAGTCCACAAGTCAGAAAAGGGCCACGTTTGAAGACCTGTGATAGGCTATCCGTTTCATTTCTTCAGTATTATTTCCACAGTAGGGAAAAGTAGAGAATGGATGTCATGTTTGGTTGGACGGTAGGAACTTGAAGGGATATTATGAGCTCCTGAGAATCTCCTCTTCCTATTTAACGCTAACTTGGGTTGGGTTCTCAGGTTGAATGAAGAACCTCTGGCTCTTTTTCTCTGGGCCCTCCCTGCTTTGTGCATTTTTTAAGATCTTGCTCGCTTGAAATAGGAGAAAAAAAACAACCTGTTGGCAAAACCAGCAGCCTCGTGGTGTAGCCTCCATCCTAAATAGTATAATTCCACTACTTATTTTCCCTTTCTCCTTTCATTTGGTGCTGCTTGTCAGAGTGGGGAATACCATCCGTGCCACGCTGAGCAAACTCCCTGTGGCAGCTTATATATTTGCTGCGTTTGGGTCTCTTTGGATAGCTTTTTGCTGCATCGGTTCTGCTATTTTTTTTTCTCCTGCCTGTTTTCTGCTTCATTCAACTTTAATGCCACTTGGGGGGAAAATAGCAACGGATTATACCCCGATACAATTCTCAAGCCCTTCCCTTCGGGCTAAAGCAGGGGTGAGGAACAATGGACCTTTTATGACTTGTGGACTTCAACTCCCAGAATTCCTGAGCCAGCATGGCTGGCTCAGGAATTCTGGGAGTTGAAGTCCACAAGTCATGAGGGAGCCAAAGTTCCCCATCCCTGGGCTAAAGGAAGAAAGATGGAATGGTGTATGTTACAGCAATATATATATATGGGTCTGTGGTAAGGCTAAAAGACGCACGGTTGTGAACTGACATGGATCCTTCCCCACATTTTGTACAAGAGGCTGGAAACTGACTGACATTTTGTGGGCCACAAAATATTTTGTGGCGATCTACATGCACTACGCCCCTTCACACCCAGCATCCTAATTGTTCTTTGCATGATCCTAACAATTCTACAGCTTGTTGATTCTTTTGCAACAGCGCTAATCGAATTGGTTTCTGCAAAGGGGCTCAGAAACTAACAGAAGCTTTGGTCGTCGTAAAGCTTTTTCTGCATTTGAGATGCCGTAAGCACCCACCCCCAGATCCCATATTTTTTTAAGAGGCAGAATCCAGAATGTGATGTGTAGGTGTTGTGCGCACAGAACACGTTGACTGTGAAGGAAGATACATGAGTGGCCTCAAGGCTTAGCCGCCAACATGCACAAGTCAAATCGCAAATCAGTAAATGTGAAAAATGTCTCAAACTGAGATTTATGAATATAACTCAGCTCTTAGAAGAAGGCTTTTCTCCCGATTTTAGAAATTTTTAGATTCCCCACCCCCCCTTTCCACTTCTTAAGCTTGGTTGCCAATCTAGCTTGTGTTTTTGTTTTTTAAACTGCTTTATATAATTAACAGTGCACCACTTACCTTATGGTCTTGCATAGAGCCTTTTGTCCAGAAATGTTAGACACTCACAAATCATCCCCTGGTCATTGTAATCAAATCAAATTCATTGGGGTGTATTGGACATTTAGCTGGGAAAGCCTGCTATAATAGGGATTAGTTACTTCTTTGTGGGCAGCTAGTGTGGGCCTCCCTCCTGTTCCCCAATATTAACTCAGCTGGAGAATTTCACCAAGGCAAGTTCAGCAGGTAGAGAGTCTAGATCAGGAGTCTCCAAAGTTGGCAACTTTAAGACTTGTGGACTTCAACTCCCAGAATTCCTTATGCCGGCTGGGGAATTCTAGGAGTTGAAGTCCACAAGTCTTAAAGTTGCCAAGTTTGGAGACCCTTGGTCTAGAGCAGGGGTCTTCAGACTTGGCCCTTTTATGACTTGTGGACTTCGGCTCCCAGAATTCCTCAGCCAGCGTGCCTGGCTGAGGGATTCTGGGAGTCGAAGTCCACAAGTCATAAAAGGGCCAAGTTTGAAGACCCCTGCTCCAGAGTAGTGTTTTTCAAACCTGGCAACTTGAAAATGTGTGGACCTCAACTCCCAGAATTCTCCAGCCAGCAATGCTGGAGCCCACACATCTTAAAATTGCCAAAACACTGCTCTAGAGTCTAGACCAGGGGTAGGCAACCTTGGCTCTTTTATGACTCGTGGACTTCAACTCCCAGAATTCCTGAGCCAGCATGGCTCAGCTTGGAAACCTCCCTTTTTCCTCAGCATGGCTGGCTCAGGAATTCTGGGAGTTGAAGTCCACGAGTCATAAAAAGAGCCAAGGTTGTCTACCCCTGATCTAGACTAATAGTTCAAGGACAGGTTCGCCTTCCCTACTTGGAACCTAGCCAAGGTTTTCCTTGGTCTAATAATAATTTGAAAAAAAGGTCAATACAAACCGGCTGGCCTAAACAGCACTTTTCCTGTTGCTGCCAACTTTCCGGTGCTGAACAAGGTGATTTTTAGCAAACGCTCGGTGCTGTTTTTCCAGGGTAACAGGTGAGATGGCTGACTGGTGTCTGTGCTGTATTTGAATGTGCCTTTAGAACAGGGCTCTTCAAACTGGGCCCTTTTCTGACTTGTGGACTTCAACTCCCAGAATTCTTCAGCCAGCGTGCCTGGCTGAGGAATTCTGGGAGTGGAAGCCCACAAATCATAAAAGGGCCAAGTTTGAAGTCCCTTTCTTTAGAAGGTGCTGTGGGAATCTCTAAGCACAACAGGGGTGCTCTTGTAGGACAAGGGGAACTATTTTGTGACAAGTAAATCAGTGGGGAAACGGGATCCCCTTTCCTTGCAGATGTTTGTACCTTTTTACCCTTATAAAGGTCTTCTCCAGGGATTGTCTACCCTTGATGTAGAAAATCTGTAATGTATTCCAGGCAGGGCCGTTTCTCATTGCTTTGTGCAAACAGAGCATATGATTGCAAAGCCGCAACATGTTTCCCAGAGAGAGTTGCGTGCCCATAAGCAGTGTTTTGAAGGAAAGTGAGCTAGCCACTAAAGTATTTGGCACTACTGCACAGCCAAGTATTACAAAGGGTGACTTTGGAGAGCTACTCCGGCCTCGGGGACAAAGGCGCTAAGGCGAGACGCATTTGTACAAAACGTGGAACACAATGGCCTCAGCTGACAGGAGCTTGTCTGCATTGTGGCTTTTTATCTGGCCAATGACACTTTGTTTTATATAGATGTTTATAGTGACAAAATTATAAAGATCTGTGCCAAGGGTATATTTAATAATAAAAAATGAATTAACCAGTTTGCGGCGTCTGTCGTGTCACTCTTTTCTGAGATTTTGTCTCATTGTATAGAATTAGATGGCATTATTGGTGTCTAATCCGTGGTGGCGGAGTGGTTAGAATGCAGCACTGTAGGCTACTTCGGCCGACTGCCGGCTGCCAGCAATTCGATCCTGACCGCCTCAAGGTTGACTCAGCCTTCCATCCTTCCAAGGTCGGTAAAATGAGGACCCAGATTATTGGGGGTAATATGCTGACTCTGTAAACAGAGGGCTGTAAAGCATTGTGAAGCGGTATGTACGCCTAAGTGCTACTGCTATTATTAATATAAGTATCTCCAACCTTTTTGATGACCATGGCCTTGGAGGTCTTCTAGTCCAGGGCTTTTCAACCAGTGGTACGGGTACCACCTGTGGTACATTGGCATCTGGCAGGTGGTACGCGACCATCCTAGAAAAGTGGTAGCGGGGGAGGGGAATGAGCTGAACTGGTGGCAGCACTGCACAAGCCTGAGCGAGGGATGGCTGGAGCTGCAGGGCTGTCAGGGCTCAGTGGAAGCACCAGGATCAGCGTCAGGCTCCAGCTGGAGCTCGGCGCTGATCCTGGCGCTTCTGCTGAGCCCTGAAGAAGCACCAATCAGCTGGAATGTTGCAGCATCTCCAGGGTCTTGTGATTTACATTCAGATGCTTGGCAACTGATTCATATTTATGACGGTCACAGTGTCCCAGGGTCATGTGAAGTGACCAAAACCTGCTGCACCCACCCAGCAGACGGGGGGAATAAAAACCAAACACCCCCCCACCCCACCCCCACTGCCAATCTTCAACAGAAATGCTCACAACAATGAAAACCTTGGACAGGAGAAAGAGTACCGCCAGGTGGGCAGGCAGGTGTCTTGCTCGGCTGTGGCTTGTAACTTCGAACAGTCACTAAGTGAATTGTTGTAAGTCGAGGACTACTTGTACTTCATCACTTTTTTCCTTTTTTGGGGGGGGGGTCATCAAGTTTTTGACACCTTGCTAGGCGACTGGTGGTACTCGGATATTGCCATATCCTAAAAGTGGTACAATGGGTGAAAAGGTTGAAAAGCCCTGGACTAGTCCAACCCCCTGCTCAGGCAGGAAACCCTGTACCATTCCAGACGAATGGCTATCCAATCTCTTCTTAAAAGCCTCCAGTGAGGGAGCACCCACAACTTCTGGAGGCAAGTTGTTCTCACTGTCAAGAAATTTCTCCTTATTTCTAGGTTGGTTCTCTCCTTGATTAGTTTCCATCCGCTGCTTCTTGTCCTGCCTGTTGAAAAGGGGCAGGGCATCCCATACAAGAAACTCCTCCTTCTCCAGAGTGTGACGTTATTCAGACCGTCAATTCATAGCTGAACTATTGATCGGCTCCACACAAACATAATGGAACCTGCCCGTTGCGGTCATATAGCGTGACCGTTGTAAAACAGGTTGATCAGGTGACCACCCCGATTTTACAACTTTTTTTCCCACTAAGAAAACACAACAGTTATAAAACAAACACCGCAGTCACTCAATGGGCATTAAGCAAACCCATTTTTTCCCTTATGGCAGTGGTTTTGCCAAAAACGGGAAGTAACTTCTGGTTCCCGCAAAACCGTTGTTAAGTGTGGCTACGTTGCCGAGCACCCTAACTCCCTTTTTTTCTTCAGAGGTCGTAACTTTGAATGGGTGCTGAGTGATCGGCTGTAAGTCAAGGACTAGTTCTGTCTGCAGGCCCAATCATTTGTGGCTTACTCAGTAACTCAAATTAAGCAGGCCACGGGGTCATCCTTAAGCGACAGTTAATAATAATAATAATAATAAAGTTGGAAGGGACCTTGGAGGTCATCAAGTCCAACCCCCTGCTCAGACATATACCATTTCGGACAAATGGCTGTCCGATTATCCCAAAAATGCTTCTTCAAGAGGCAGCTGGATTTCAGTTTTGCTTCTCACCCAAGAAGCTTCTTCAGTTCGAAACGTCTTCAAGGAAAAACAAAGGAAGTCCAGTTGCCTCTTGAAAAAACACCTTTGGGACAACCGTGGCCTGGATGACTAAGCATCTCCATGGACTTTCCCTCTCGTTCGGTTTGCCCCACTGGATCCATGGCGGGCAAATATCATACCAGGCTTTGGCTTCAAATAGCTCTCCTCTCCTTCACTGGTTTTAATTCCTGGCTTAAGTTTAGATGTAATACTAGGCCAGTGATGGCGAACCTTCTAGAGACCGAGTGCCCAAAAATTGCCACCGCCCCGCCCGCCGGGCCACGCATTGCCTCCATGGCCCACCACAGTAGATCACCCAGGGGGCCCAGCAGCGTCATTGGTAGCCATGCCCTCCGCCCGCACCCCGCAGCATCATCTTGTCCCCGCTGCCCGGCTGCCATGTCCTTGGCTATGCTGCTCCACGCGGGCCGCACCTGGGGACAACTCTCCTCCGGGGGGCTCTTGGTAAGGAGGGGGCCACGGGGGGAAGCGGGGCTGGAGCGATGGCGCATATGCCCACATAGAGGGCTCTGTGTGCCCCCTCTGGCACACGTGCCATTGGTTCGCCACCACTGTACTAGGCTTAACCATCTCATAACAGGTGGTGGCAATTTGGCTGACCCTGGAAGCTAAGTGGGACTTGGTCAGAATTTGGATGAGCGAGAGAGACCACTAGAAATTGCAGGGCTGGACTTTAACTGGGAAATTAAAAAAGAAAAACCCAAGAGAGGCTGGTACTTGACAACTTCTATATTTCTTGGAGGTGTCACCAAGGAGTCCAATATAACTAGTTCAGGGGTAGGCAACCTTGGCTCTTTTATGACTCATGGACTTCAACTCCCAGAATTCCTGAGCCAGCCATGCTGAGGGAAAAGGGAGGTTTCCAAGCTGAGCCATGCTGCCTCAGGAATTCTGGGAGTTGAAGTCCACGAGTCATAAAAGAGCCAAGGTTTCCTACCCCTGGACTAGGGGATGTGCTCCCTAGGTCTGATCATGGTGTGGTTTAAGCCCACTGTGTGAAACAAGGTACGGTGTTCTTCTGAACCTCAGGCTACAGATAATCCTCGACTTATGACCACAATTGAGCCCCACCATTTCTGTTGCTAAGCAAGGCAGTTGTTAAGCGAATTGGGCCTAATGTTACGATCTTTTTTTTTGGCACAGTTGTTAAGTTCATCGCTGAAGTTGTTAAGTGAGTCATGCAGTCATTAAGTGAATCTGGCTTCCCCCATTGACTTTGCTTGTCAGAACTTAGCTGGGAAGATCACAAATGGTGATCACATGATCCCCGGACAATGCAATCGTCATAACTACATGCCAGTTGCCAAGCTCCCGAATTTTGAGAGCCTGGGGATGCTGCTCATATGGTCGTGTCCTATTTTTTCCATGTGATTGTAACTCTGAATGGTCACTAAACGAATGGCTGTAAGTCAAGGACTACCTGTACTTATTTTTCTTGATTATAATACTGCTGTTTTTGTACCGTTATGTATTTTATGTCCCATTATTTGTAAGACCTTTTTACTGGGGTTGGTTTTTTTTTTAACTTTTTCTCAAAACAAGAAGAGGTATGTAGAGTTAAATGAATGTGCAGCTGGAATCCTTGACTGAATGGAAAAGGCAGCTTCTGTCTTTTCTTTTACCACGATACGTCCTGATTGTGGAAATCTTGCATTTAACTTACTTAAACTTCTTATGGACCAAAGATGGTTCTGCTATTTATGAAAACAATTTTGTAAGTTTCACTTTCACCTGCATCAGTTACTATTCTAACTGGAGCCAGTTTGGTAAAGCACTAGGCTGGAAACCAGGAGACTGGGAGTTCTAGTCCTGCCTTACACATGAAAGGTGGCTGGGTGCCTTTGGGCCAATCACCAGGAGACTCTGAGTTCTAATCCCAGTTTAGGCATGAAAGCCGGCTGGGTGCCTTTGGGCCAATCACCAGGAGACTCAGTTCTAATCCCAGTTTAGGCATGAAAGCTGACTGGGTGCCTTTGGGCCAGTCCCTCTTTCTCAGCCCAACCCACCTCACAGTGTTGTTGTGGGGAAAATAGGAGGATGAAGGAGTATTGGGTATGCTCACTGCCTTAAAATATACAAATAATAAAGGCAGAATGAAAAAAACCCCACCTAAATCAAACCTCTGCAAAAAGAAATTGGCGAAGCAAATGAGACGCGAAAGGTGATGCCGGTTGTTCAGATTTCAACCTTGCTTCTGAATGTTTTTAAGCCAAAAGATATGGGGGGAAAATTTTTTTTAATCAAAGCTGATCAAGTCACTCCCCTTTTACCTCTTTTGAGATAGCGAAGATGTATATCCAGCCCACTGTGATTGGTCTAAAAAAGCAGTACTTGAATCCAGCTGGAGACATCACAAGATAATCTTTCCTCAAGGATGACAACATGGCTATCAATTTGCAAGCCCTCAAGAGAGATCCATATTCTGGCACTAAGCACAGTCTGCACCCAAAACGTCCCACTCTGAGGCCACAGATTTTCTCACTTAGGATACAGCCAAGTGCTGATGGAAATAGAGGCCGAAGAAGATGGAAATGACTTGACAGGCCGCAATCCACCAGACGCAGAACGAGAAGAGCCCCCGGTAGAAAAGAGGAGTAAAGACGGTACTCAAGGCACTAAGAGATGCGGTGATCTGTTCCACTGCAGCCTGGACATCTTCTTTCTCAGAATCCTCAGAGGGGGCGGCCTGGCGAATCGGAATAGCATCAGGTGCTGGAGATGTTAGCGCAGGTTCAGGATACAGACCCCAGGAATATTCACCTTTTGGGGGGGGGTAGAAATGAATGGGGGAGAGGTTATATTGTCACCAAAATTCTTTGATCAACCTTGTACATATAAAAGTATATAAAAATTCCAGGTGCCCTCTTCCTTCTTTTAGAGAGTGTAACAAGCAACGCATTTTTATTTGGCATAGCAGTCTTCCAATATCTCTTGTTTGCCACAAAGAAGAGGGAGTCAAGCTATTTTCCAAAGCACCTGAAGGCAGGACAAGAAGCAACGGATGGAAACTAATCAAGGAGAGAAGCAACCTAGAACTAAGGAGAAACTTTCTGACAGAACAATTAACCAGTAGAACAACCTGCCTCCAGAAGCTACGAATGCTCCAACACTGGAAGTTTTTAAGAAGAGACTGGACATTTGGGCAAATGGCCGTCCAGTCTCTTCTTAAAAACTTCCAGTGTTGGAGCATTCACCGCTTCTGGAGGCAGGTTGTTCCACTGGTTAATTGTTCTTACTGTCAGGAAGTTTCTCCTTAGTTCTAGGTTGCTTCTCTCCTTGATGAGTTTCCATCCGTTACTTCTTGTCCTGCCTTCAGGTGCTTTGGAAAATAGCTTGACTCCCTCTTCTAGGTATTTTATGAAAGATGAAATAAGTGGTAAATCTATGTTTCACAGACACAAAGAGAAATGGCGGGTTCCTCTAGACCAGAGGTCCCCAACCCCCGGGGCCATAGCCCATCACCGGGCTGCAGCTGGTTTGGAACCGGGCCACACAAGTGGCAGGCGAGTGTGTGCGCATGCGCAGCTCCACTTGCATGAGCGACGGGTACTTGTGCGCAAAGCATCATTGGCGCAAGCGTTAGGCAAGCACACCATTTGTCTGAAATAGTATAGGGTTTCCTGCCTGAGCAGGGAGTTGGACTAGATGACCTCCAAGATCCCTTCCAACTTTATTATTGTTGTTGTTGTTGTTGTTATTATTATTATTATTATTATTATTATCTGCCACCAACCATCCCCTACCCCCTCTACCCATTCAAACCAGAAAGATTGGGGACCACTGCTCTAGACACTTAGGTGACTGAAGAGTCCTTTACCAAGAGTTTTGAGGATAAGGGTGCAGTGCAGAGTGAGAAATATTGGCGCCAGGTATTGGAGGCTGACCACTGTTACATAGCAGTAGATCCTGGTGATCTGGAAATTAAAAAAAAAAAAGGAACCATGAAGTATGAGAATTGAGATCTGGTCATTTAAGGCAGGGGTCTCCAACCTTGGCAACTTTAAGACTTGTGGACTTCAACTCCCAGAATTCCTCAGCCAGCTTTGCTGGGACTTGAAGTCTACAAGTCTTAAAAGTTGCCAAGGTTGAGGACCCCTGATATTTAAGGTCTTAAGTAGCATTCCAGATACAAGTAGTCCTTAACTTATGACCACAACTGAGCCCCAACATTTCCATTGCTCAGCAAGAAAGTTAAGTGACTTGCCCTACTTTACGACCTTCCTTCACACTTAACGACCATTGTGCCATCCATCCCACTTGATCAAAATGTGAAGGCCTTGGCAACTGGCATGTATTTATGACGGTTGCCGTGTCCCGGAGTCATGTGATCACCTTTTGCAACCTTCCGACCAGCAAAGTCAATAGGGAAGCCAGGTTCACTTAATAACTGTGTACAGGTAGTCCTTGACTTACAATAGTTCATTTAGTGACCGTCCAAAGTTAACAACGGCCCCGAAAAAAGTGACTTATGACCATTTTTCAGTTATGACCATTGCAGCATCCCCATGATCACGTGATCAAAATTCAGATGCTTGGCAACTGGCTCATATTTATGACGGTTGCTGTGTCCCAGGGTCACGTGATCTTCTTTTGTGACCTTCTGACAAGCAAAAGTCAATGGGGAAGCCAGATTCAACAACTGTGTTACTAACTTACCAACCGCGGTGTTTCACTTAACAACTGAGGCAAGGAAGTTCGTAAAATGAGGCGAAACTCACTTCACAAACGTTTCACTTAACAACAGAAATTTTGGGCTCAATTGTGGTCGTAAGTCGAGGATTACCTGTACTAATTTAACCACTGCAGAGATTCACTTAACAACGGAGGCAAGAAATGGGGTAAAATGGGGCAAAATAACAACTGTCTCACTTAGCAATGGAAATTTTGGGCTCAACTGTGGCTGTAAGTTGAGGACGGCCTGTAAAGGATGTGCTGCCTGTTGTGAGCCATTCTGGGCCTACCTTTCGCTGAATCTCCAGCACAGTGATCCGGCCGGCCTCCCGTTTCATTTGCTCCACCCAACGCTCAGCCAGATTCAGATACGCCTGGAGATGGTAGCGGGTGACGGCCAGGCGCAGCACACAGAGCACCACAATCGTCCAGAGGCGTACAGAATTGTAGGTGGCGTCCGACATGCTGTCACAAAGAGGAAGGGAATCCATTAGCTCTCTCGGTGGGAGGAAGGAAGTCTTTCAAATGCTGAGTTGCCAAGCAACAGCCTGAGAATCTAGGCTTGATTCTCTCCCCCCCCCCTTTTTTGAATCTAAGTTACTCAGCCTCATGCATGCAGGGATGCTAAATGGAATGCCGGCAAAAAAAAATAAAGCAGAAATTACTTGAATTAAAGATTAAAAGGAAACAGGGTTGTTGTTGTTGTTTTTTTAAAAAAAGAACTCACAGCTGGAATGCAACTCCTCCCCTTAACTTACATCTGGACCGTCTCCTTGCCCATGGGGGCCCTCAGCAAGAGGTCTCGTGAAATGGGCTTGATCCATATCAGCATCACGATCACGGGAGAAAGAAAACTGGCGTGCAGAAGGAGTCTGTAGGATGGGAAGCGGGAGGTTTGTTCCGTGTTAGGCTGATTCTCCAGAGGCTGGAAATGTCTATCTGACAATACCACTCCCTTTCCCCCACTACCACCACAAATAAAGCTTATAAATAGGGAGCAGAGTGTCCAAAGGGCAGGTGCCAAAGAGTCAAGATGGCATCCACAATGGTGTGATCAACGTTCCACCCGGTTTTTATGTGCACCTCATTAAAAAAACTGGAGCTTCTATCGGTGTGTAGCTGCCCCCTTGCCCCCTCCAAGCCATCAGCTGAGCAAGATGCCCTCCTGCCCACTGCCCCACCCGCCAGAGATCCCCTGGATCTCCCCCAATCCAGCCTTGCCCCATAGGCATCCCTCCCCAGGAGCAACATCAAGGCCACGCCTACCCAGGCCACGTCCACCATAGCCACGTCCACCCAGTGGGCCATGCCCACCCAGCAGGCCACGCCCACCCAGCCCCCCTGGCGATACATAAGGGGGTTTGGGGTTGCAGTTTGGGCACTCGGTCTCTAAAAGATTCGCCACCACTGGTCTAGAGTGTTGGCTATTCCTGCCAGCTTGGTGTCGTCTGCAAATCTGATAAGAGTTCCCCATCTATCCCCTCATCCAAATCATTGATGAAGATGTTGAAGAGCACTGGGCCCAGAACAGAGCCCTGGGGCACCCCACTACACACTTCCCTCCATGTAGATGCGGTTCCATTGAGGACCTACTGCCAGACCTACTTTGAGGTTCTGTAGATATTCTGAGGTATCACGTTCCTTTCTTGATTTTACCTTCTAATGTTATTTCTATGTATCATTGCCTCAATCTCTCACCTATCACTTCCCCATCTGTTCTTATTAAGTTGATCCAACAGCATAAGGACACTTAGGCCCCTATATTTTAGAACAGTGTTTCTCGACCTTGACAATTTTAAGGCATGTGGACTTCAACTCCCAGAATTCCACAGCCAGCATTGCTGGCTGTGGAATTCTGGGAGTTGAAGTCCACATGCCTTAAAATGGTCAAGGTTGAGAAACACTGTTTTAGAAGAAGGTGAGGCAAGATCTTTCTTCAGTTCTCAGGATTTATGGGGCTCTTTAAGGCTAAGCGATGAGATTGAACCTAACTGGATCTTTGGCTGGTCGGCCACCATCTTGAGCGCATCCAGCTGAGTCTGGGCCAGACGTAGGCCCGGGAAAGTTAAGCAGGCACCAATGAATGAGCAGAGACCCACGAGACCCACTTTAATTCCGAGTTTTGTCACCGGGATCCTGGAGGGAAGAAACAAATGCCCAATAAAGCCAACTGTGAACCCTGCCTGGAAATCTTCAGAGGCGAGAAGGTCTTGGTGCTAAGTGAAGGGAAGCAATCAATTTGCTTATACCTTGGCCAAACTAGTCAGAGCCAGTTTGGTATAGTGCAGGGGTAGGCAACCTCGGCTCTTTTATGACTCATGGACTTCAACTCCCAGAATTCCCGAATCAGCATGGCTGACTCGGGAATTCTGAGAGTTGAAGTCCATGAGTCATAAAAGAGCCGAGGTTGCCTACCCCTGGTATAGTGGTTAAGATGCTGACCCAGAAACCAGAAGACTGTGAGTTCTAGTCCTGCCTTAGGCGTGAAGCCGGCTGGGTGACTTGGAGCCAATCACCAGGAAATGGTGAATTCTAGTCCGCCTTAGGCGTGAAAGCCGGCTGGATGACTTAGGGCCAGTCACTCTTTCTCAGCCCAACCCACCTCACAGGGTTGTGGTGGGGGGAAAAAGGAGGAAGAAGCAGTCTTATGAATGTTCTCTGCCTTGAGTAATAAAAATCTAATAAATAAAAAATACCTTTTAAAAATGAAATGACATTTATTTATTTATTTTATTTAATTTATATGCCGCCCTTCTCCCAGCGGGACTCAGGGCGGCGCACAACATATTTAAAACAAAAGCCTATATACAATCCCTCCCTGTAAAACCGAATTAAACCGAATTTTAGAGTTGTGTCTTCCAAATTCCTTAAAATGAACCCAGTATAAAATCCTCCCTAGGTCAGGTCCGCTTGCTGAAAGAGCCATGTCTTGAGGGCGCGACGGAAGGTAAGGAGATCCTTATTTATTATTGTCTTTAGAGCCTAACTTTCTCCTGAGAGTTCAAAGCCAACACCATAACTACTGGGGGTGTGTGGGTGGATGGGGGTGTGTGTTCCCCTTGCCAATAGCAGCAAAAGGTGGACCTAAACTGGAAGAGGATCAAAACTCAATAAGCAAGCACTTACATCCATTCCCATCCTTGGTCCATGAAGAAGACTTCCAAATTGTCGTGGACGCTGCTTAGTCCTGGACGGAGGAGAGAGCTGATCAACAGAGTGCAAAGAGCTTAATTTGGCCAGCCCGAGGTGGCAGGGGTGCCCAGCTATGGCCCATGCCCTAGGTCACTCACCTGCACTGAGACCAAATTCGAGGTAATCTTCCCGGACCACCAGGACCACCATCGCAATCAGAAGGAAGAGGAAGGCAAAGGACAGGCAGACAGAGCGCTCACCCCCCTCCTTGGAGCGGAAATAATGACGCATCACCATGACAAAAATTTTGCTGAAGCTAGTGCTAAGGTCATAACATCAACCCTTCTGCTGCCAGTCTTTGAAAAGAAAAAGGCCGTATTTTAAAGTTCGCACAGGTAGTCCTGGAGTTACAAACAGTTCATTTAGTGACCGTTCAAAGTTTCAACGCCACTGAAAAAAGGAACGTACGAACATTTTTCACACTTGGCAGCATCCCCATGCAACTGACTCATCTTTAGGACGGTTACAGTGTCCCGGGGTCATGCCATCACCTTCTGCAACCTTCTGACGTGTAAAGTCAAGACATTTAACAACCGCATTACTAACTTAACAACTGTGGCAAGAAAGGTCGTAAAAAGGGGTCAAAATTCACTTAATGACTATCTCTCTTAGGATCAGAAATTGTGGGCTCAATTGTGGTCGTAAGTCGAGAACCACCTGTCAAGATGATTATGATTTAGTAGCTGACCGGCAGAAGTGATATATAGAGAATGAGTCAGCAGAGTATTTGGGGGTAGTATCCCTTTAAGAGACTGTGTCTGAGGTAGGGATAGGCTACCTTGGCTCTTTTATGACTTGTGGACTTCAACTCCCAGAATTCCTGAGCCAGCCATGCTGAGGGAAAAGGGAGAGGTTTCCAAGCTGAGCCATGCTGGCTCAGGAATTCTGGGAGTTGAAGTTGACGAGTCATAAAAGAGTCAAGGTGGCCTACCCCTGGTCTGAGGAAAATAGCAGTTGGAGCCTGCTTGCTCACTTCAACCCTTTGAATATAACTATCTTGTATTCTCTATGCTCCCTGAATGTTGTTGTTTCATGTTGTATATTAAACCACAGTTCTGTTAACAAACCACAGTCAGATGTTTATGCTCCTGTTTTATCACAAGAAGAAAATAAGAAAAAGGCTGCGATAATTTATATTTTAAACAACACCACCTGTATAAAAGTGGGTATAAAAAGGGTATAAAAAGGGAAAGGGTCATTGGTTGCAAAGGATACACGGAGAATATGGCTGTCAGCAGGCACCAGAAGATTCCAATGTTGGTTTCTTTCTGGGGATCGACGAGGCAGTAGTAACCTTCAGTGAAAAGGTAGACCAGAGTGGAATATCCTGCGAAGTCGACGTACCACTGATATTCCAGGAAATAGCATAGAACTAAAGAGAAAACAGAAAGTGCTTAGTATCCCATCTCAGGTCTGATCTAGTTCAACGCTGTACCCTTCGTTTCCTAAATTAAAGCCAGAAGTATAACTCTTGGTGGTGCGATGCTACAGGTAGTCCTCGACTTACAACTGTTCGTTTAGTGACCGTGTCAAAGTTACGACAGTATTGAAAAAAGGGACTTAGGACCGTTTTTGATTCTTACAAGCACTGCAGCATCCCCAAGGACATGTGATCAAAATGCAGACGCTTGGCAATTGACTCATATTTATGACGACTGCAGTGTCCTGGCCTCGTGTGATCCCCTTTTGTGATCTTCTGACAAGCAAAGTCAATGGGGAAGCCAGATTCATTTAACAACCGTGTTACTAACTTAACAACTGATGTGATTCACTTAACAACTGTGGCAAGAAAGGTCGTAAAATGGGGCAAAATTCTCTTAACGACTGTCTTGCTTAGCAACGGAAACCTTGGGCTCAATCGTGGGCCGTATGTTAAGGACCGCCTGTATTAATTTTCAAAGTCATGTCATAGCCTCAAACTGATACTTCAAAAAGAAAGCAACTTAAAACAGATGACCACCGATAACTTGCTAATAAAACCATCAATCTTAGGTTAATGAAGCTTCCTGGCAACTCTGTTATGAAGCTCTACCTGAATAAGAATTTAGTTTAGCTCTGATTGCGAGTACTTAGCTGGTAAAAAGAAAATGCCACTTAGACCATGTGGACAGTCCTCAACTTATGACCAAAACTAGGATCAGAATTTCTGTTGCTAAGCAAAGCAGTTGTTAAGTGAATCATGGCTGGTTTTACAACCTTTTGCCACAGATAAGCCAAACACTGCAGTTCTCTTCAGGGAATATAAACCCTTTCATTCCCCACCATCCAGTCAGTGCCAAAGAAGCTTCTTGGACGAGAAGCAAAACGACTTCAAAGAAAAACAAGAAAGTCCAGTTGCCTCTTAAAAAAGTACCTTTGGGTGTTGTCATCACAGTTAAGTGGAACATCTGCATACAGATCTCTGAGCACCATCTTAATCACATCTCAGTAGAAGAGGAAAGGGAGAACCCACATTTCCCCAACGCTCAACAAAAGGCACTGCCACTTTCAAGTTGCCATAAAAGAAACACTCCGCGTTTCTGAATTTCCAGCATCCTTATGAGATGACACTCTTCCTGGCCCACCCCATACGATGAAGATGTAGCTAAGAGAGTCCAACCTCCATACATTTACCCAGAGCATCCACTGTCCGGATTGGGCTACTCTCCAGTTGCAAATCTATGTCTCGGGGAACAGTAGAAGGTTTCGCATCGGTCACCCCGTTGATCCTCCTGCTGGAAAGAAACCAACCAACACCCCTGGTTACTGCTCAACTTAGCTTAGGCTTGGTATAACTGGAAAATAGATCAGGTTTCCCCACCAAGTATTTTCTCTAAAAAAACCTGCTACCTGCAAACCTCCCACTATCCAGTTGCCAAATGCTTACCCATCTGGGAGAATAAAAACCTTTATGATTTTCCCCCCAGTTCCTTTAGCCCAGTATTTATCAATGTTGGCAACTTTAAGAACTGTGGAATTCAGTTCCCAGAATTTCACAGCCAGCATAGCTGGCTGTGGAATTCTACAAATTAAAAGTCCACAGATCTTAATGTTGCCAAGTTAAAAAACACTAGCCAACTTACCTGCCAAGATGATTGGCCTTTTGCTAATTGGGCTTACCTGTCCCGCTTACCCTTCGGCTTCTGCTTCCCTGCAAGAGCAAGTAGCTCCTCTTCTGAAGGATGCTTGTAGCGGTGCAAGCTAGCAAAATATAAAATACCAGTTTGATGCCACATAGAAAGAAAAAGCCACAGATGCCATAGATCAGTGGTTCTCAACCTTTTTAGTGCCGCGATCCCAACCTGTCGAGGACTACCCAACCAGTCGTAAGTCGAGGACTTTCCCTGCCCGGGAGCGCCGGGCATGCGTGGTTCCGCCCCCTGCGCCGGCCGAGGCATAGCTGGCAAGCGGCAGAGATGGAGCAGGCCGACCACCAGCTGGCCCAGCCCAAGGGAGGTAAGGCACCTGCCGGAAAAGGGAAAAAAAATGGCGGACAAAAAAAATGGCGGACAGCCTTGCTTGGCGACCCCCCATGAAATGGTCAATCGACCCCAAATGGGGTCCCGACCCACAGGTTGAGAACCACTGCCATAGATACAGGCCTCTTCAGAACTTGTTTGTTAGTGACTTGGTCATTATTTCACTTCTTTTTGTTTTTAATGTTAAAAACTGGGGTGACGTTTTTGTGGCAGGGAAAATTTTTTATTCAGTTATTAATTTTATATGTCACCCATCTCACTATCAAGGGACTCTGACAAAAATCAGGCACTCCCTCCTGTGAAAAGTTAGTAGGTCAGTTTACAAAATTCAGGATTTGCACAGAACGTGAGGTATCAAAAGCCATGGTGGTGCAGTGGTTAGAATGCAGTATTGCATTCTAACTCTGTCCACAATCGGGAGTTCGATCCTGACCGGATCAAGATTGACTCAGCCTTCCATCCTTCCGAGGTCGGTAAAATGAGGACCCAGATTGTTGGGGGCAAATAGTCTGACTCTGTAAACTGCTTAGAGAGCATTATAAAGCACTATGAAGCAGTATATAAGTCTAAGTGCTATTGCTATCAAGAAACTGCTTTTAAATTCTGGGCCCCAGTTAGGATTTTGAAAAAAAAAGGTGTCACAGAGCTTATGATATTATTTTTAGATTCTTTTAATTTTAAATGCAGGACGCTTTTGCTTCAAGCATCATCTTTCCTTCCAAGAATGCATCTGTCTCCCGAAAACAGACCTTTAAAATCACTCTTGAAGGATAAAGATGTGTGGGGTTGGGTAATGATATGTGAGAATGATTTTGGGAGTTAGGAAGAGGAGTCACAGGTACTCTGCTGGAAAACAGGTATACCTGTTGTAATAAAACAGACAAATGTAAACTTATGCACTAAAAGGGATAAATGATCTTGGAAGGGGAAAGGAGGGAAGCCATCTCAACCATTTCCCAAAATTCTTAGGGACCAGCCACATTCACTGAGGCAGCTAGTCTGTGATGGTGCCCATAAGATGCTCTTCGAATTCCAAATTAGCCTCTCCACAGCCAGAGAAGCAAAAGCATTTCTGTTTTTAAACAAAGCTTTCTTTGATTCACAGCGCAGGTGTTTTTTAAAGTTGCAAAATCAACTCAACTTCTCAGGACATCTGCAGGAAGGGGGGGGGGGAGTCAAAAAAAGTCAAGATAGCAATCACAATGAAAGCACCACCCCTTTTTAATGAGTCACATGTACAACACACGTTCAAAAAAGGAAGGTCTTCAATTATTCAGTTGTCAATTCAACTTTTTTAACACACACAGACCCTCTCTGGACACCCATGTTCCAACCTTTGTTGCAAATCTGAGTGACAGTTTTCTCCCCATAAGGCTGCAGCAAGACGGGATTCGTTGAAGACTTGCTGAAGAAAATCTGATGTGCCAGGCCCTTGATTCCTTCCACAGAACAAGGCATGTTTGCTACTACAGAGCAACACATTATTATTACAAAGGATGAGGTACCTTCCATTGCAAAGGAGCCATCGGGCGAAGGACCAGTGGGGTGCCATCTTCTGAAAGATGCTGGCCACGAACAAGGAGAACACAAGCTGTATCCCCATCACTGCCTGCCAAGGAGAAAGAGACACATTGGCTCATCACTGCCTCAGCCCTCTCCCTCTAGCACCCGTGGCTCATAAACAAGACTCCCTTCTTCCATCTAAGAGAAAACAGCCACTTTTCCTCATCATCTCAGGTCAAAAACCTTGGCTTCTCCATCCCAGCAAGCCTCCAGACCAGTGCTTCTTCAACTAGGATGTGTGTCTACGAGTTTAGAATAGTGTTTCTCAATAGTGTTGAAAATGTGTGGACTTCAACTCCCAGAATTCCTCAGACAGGATGTGTGGCATTTCAAATGCTGGCTGGGGAATTCTGGGAATTGAAGTCCACACATTTTTGAGCTGCCAAGATTGAGAAACACTGCTCCAGATACATCAGAATGCATCTCACTTCATCGCTGGTTGGGGATAATGGGATCTGCAGCCCTGCACATCTGGAGGCTGAAGAGGAAATGCACAGCCTCCAGGACTTTTTTTTTTACTGTTTATGTGGAAGGAGAAAAACAGATGAACAAGCATTAACTCCATCTGTTTCTCTTTTCTGATTTTGAAAAAGTAATATCGTTACCCAACTGTTACTCGGCATCAATGCGAGTTGATGATATTTACACTTGCATTGATGATGTTACCTAGTTGGGTTATGAAATGGCTGCAGGCAATCAAACCAAGCTCAGAGAGCACCAAGGGCTCCACAATTATTTATTATTCTCCAGCAAAATGAGTTTTTTTTATTCTGGATAGAGACATGTTTCATCCATACGTTCCGCTTCCTTTTTGCACACTTTTCACAATTCGTCAAATACAGGGAGGCACTGACATTTCTTCAGGGTTGAGCTACAATGTAGACATTTGATAGGGTGGCAGAAGGCTGAGACTGGAAACCCTGGTCTATTTTTAAAAGCAGGACACTGATCCGAGAAGAACTTCAGAAAGCATTAGGGCAGGGATGTCAAACTCAATTTCATTGAGGGCCGCATCAGCATTGCAGTTGCCCTCAGGGGGCTGGGTGGTTGCGGCCTACTGAGTGGGCATGGATGGAGTGGATGTGCCCTACTGGGTGGGCATGGCCAGCTCTACATCGTTCGCGTCAAGGGTGCTGTGGGGGCCTGGGCAGGAGTGGGACAGATCTGAGGGTCTCTGGCAGAAGGGGTGGTCCATTTCTTCATTCCTCACAAAGGGTGACACCTCCCCAGCATGCACCCAGGAGGTGGGGCCGATGCGGCAGGGGCTGGTTCCTCGCTGTTTCTAGACGGCTTTGTGGAGCTAAGACTGAATGCGTTTCAGCATAGATGGCCACCACAAAATTGTACATTGGCTCCCGGCTGGCCTGAGCCAGGGCCAAGGCAGCGGGGGCCGTTCCCTCACTGTTTCCAGGGTGGCTTCGCGGGCCACATGAAACCACTTTGCGGGCCGCATCCGGCCCCCGGGCCTTGTGTTTGACATGTCTGCATTAGGGGGAGATCTAGCTGAGGAGAAAGAGATGGAAGAAACTGAGGGAAGGCTTTACCTCAGCCCACCACTGAGCAACAGAATACTTTTTTTCTCAAAAAGTATTAATTTCCAGTTAAACATCTTTTTCCTTCTTTTTTTTCTGACATCAGAAGAGCCAGAAGATGCGTCTATCACCCACCAGCACCCTCACTAGTACCCAGTTCAGTAAAAAGAAGTACGTGGGGGAAAAAAAGAAAACTGTCTCATTTCAAGAAATAAGCCTCAACGGCAAGATGATAATCCCCAATGCTGAGGTGAAGAAAAAGACTGGCTATTTCCTCCTTAAAAGGCTCATGAGCAAAAAGGAGAATATTTGTAGTTCAGGGTTGACATGAGGGGTCCTTGGTGCTCTCTAAGCTTGCTGGTTTTCTTGCAGACATTTCATGACCCAAACTAGGTAACCTCATCCATCTCATGAGCAGCATTTCTAGTGACGGATTCTCAAACTTGTTTTCACAGATACCCATGGAAATACAGGTAGTCCTTGACTTACAACAGTTTGTTTAGCGACTGTTCAAAGTTACAACGGCACTGAAAAAAGTGACTTATGACCTTTTTCACATTTACGACCATTGTAGCATCCCCATGGTCATGTGATCAAAATTCGGACCCTTGGCAATTGGCCTGTATTTGTGATGGTCGCGGTGTCCTGCAGTCATGTGATCATGTTTTGCGACCTTCTGACAAGCAGAGTCAATGGGAAAGCCAGATTCACTTAACAATGGCAGGGATTCACTTAACAACCGTGGCAAGGAAGGTTGTAAAGGGACAAAACTCACTTAACTGTCTCACTTAGCAACAGAAATTTTGGGCTCAGTTGTGGTTGTAAGCTGAGGACTGTTGTGAATACAGGTAGTCCTTGATTTATAAGCATAATTGAGCCCGGAATTATGGTCGTATACTGTGCCAGCTGTTCAGTGAATCATCACTGACTCAATTTTACGGCATTTTTTTGTAGTGGTCATTAAGCAAATCCCTGGTCATTAAGCATACCCATTGTCTGCAATTGTCATTTTTTTGCTGGAAATCGGAAGTAAATGCCAGTTTCCGGCAAAAAGCATCATAAATCACGGCCACATGACTGTGGGAAGCTGCATATGGCCAGTTGCTGAGTGCCCAAATGTGATCACATGACCACAGGGGATGGCCATCAGAACTTCAAATCCAGATTGTAAGTACCTTTTTTGGGGTTCATCTTAACTTCCAACAGTTGCTAGGCGATTGGACGTAAATCAAAGACTAACTATAGATAACTTCCTATCGTGCAAATACATTACTTTGGGCCTGTTCAGTCCACAATACAGAGGTTTGAATACAGAACACTTGTATGATTTTACATGACCGGAAACAAAATTTCACATCTCTGAACTTGTATTTCCTATGTAACAGTACGTGATTTGAAATCAAGGTTATCAAGTTTCCTCCTCTTTTTCCACAAAAAGGTATGGTCCTGCCTCCTGAATCTTGCAGCCACAGAAACATCAACTAAGTTTTACATATCACACTTAACCATCATGTGGCTGGCTTGATTTTGACTTAATGCATTGGGTAAACCCTGCAAACCATGAATTACAGCCAAATGCAAGACAAGAATCCAAAGTTGCTACCATTTGCTCAAAAAAGCATGATTCAAAATCACAAGAAGCCATGGGTTCATACGATGCGTGAATCCATCCTCCGTTTCACTCATTTGTGTTCCAGACCATGTTGGCCAAGGGCTGCGACTTGGATGCATAGGCACAAGTTTGTTAAAAAAAAGAAAAGAAAGGATATTAACTCCATGCAGCAAAAGGTTGCCTGCTCCTGTGGCAAGACTATGTTGTGGAAGTGCTAAGGGACTTGATTTGTATGCCACTGGCCCAACGTTTTGTGAGAAAAGGATCAGGAAACCACAGAAAAAAGATATCAATTAAGAGATAAGATAACCTTTATTGTCATTTTTTTACTGTGGGCACAACGGCATACATCAAAAAATGAAATTTAGTTGCCCGCTCTCAAAGTGAAACACATACATGACACACATCTAAACATACTATATAACACATATGTATGTCTTAGACCCACACTCCTACATATACATAACAAATAAATATTAAATACTGTCCATCTTGAATATATAACAGAAGGAGGAAGCTTGAGAGTTCACAAGGTTAATGCTGTATGGCAGTGGTGGCAAACCTATGGCCCGCGTGCCAGAGGCGGCACTCAGAGCCCTCTCTGTGGGCACGCGTGCCATGCTCCGGAGAGGGCAACTGTCCCTCTTCAACCAGCCACCCGCTAACTCGCCAAGGTCGCATGTGACCGGATGCATCTCAGCATGGCTGGTTTCCCTCCCCCGCCGTCCCATCCCTCCTGGCCTCGCATGCTCTCCTTTTCCAGGGCATGACCCACTGCATCGCCTCCTCAGCTGTCGGCCGGCCATCCAGCTCAGAGGCAGCTTCTCTGAACTGCTGGTGGCGGGCTGCAGAGCCCCAGACTGCGCCAGTCGAGGGGCCGGCAGGCTGTGGTTGCTGATGGACACTGTCAGCTCCCATGTGCTTGCTGGCCTCTGTGTGCGGGGGCCGATGGTGTCAGGCAGCAGCTGCCCCGGCCCGCTGCCCCACCTGCCAGATCCCCTGGATCTCCCCCAAACCTGCCCGGCCCCAACAGGCGTCCCTCCCTACAAACAACATCGAGGTGACCATGCCTACCTTGGTCACACCCACCCAGTCTGCCATGACCACCACACCCACCTGGCACCCGGTGATAAATAAGTGGGTTTTGGGTTGCAGTTTGGGCACTCGGTCTTTAAAAGGTTCGCCATCACTGCTGTATGGAATGAAACTATGGCTGAATCTGGATGTTCTGCTACGGATACCACAAAGCCACCTCCCAGAAGGTAACAAGGAAAACAGGTCGTGAAGATGACACACGAGAAAGTATGTTCTTTGTGAGCATTGGTCCTTTGTGAGCAAAAATCACAGCCCAGGGTCAAAGACCTTGCTCCCTACATATAAGATCAGTTCCAAGAATTTCAGACCCCAGGTGATAACAAAGGGTTTTATCTCTCTCTCTCTCTCTCTCTCTCTCACACACACTCACACACACACACACTTTTCCAATCCAAATATGTATCTCGGCTTAGACCAACTAATTATCAGGCTGATATACTGTAAGGCAATGTCTTCGTCTGCTGTTTATTGTCCATTTCAAGGTAGCCTATTCCTGACCATGGAAGCTCGATTTAATGCGCCACGATTATCCAGAAGCTTAAGACGTGCGCAATCGTTTCCTCTCTCAAACGCAATTCGCCTTAGAAACATTTGAAGTTCTCCATGCATTTCTATTTCAAAACAAAATTCCCGTTAAGGAAAGGACACCAAAATAGCAAAGCACCATCATCCACCCGTAATCCTTTGGCTCACTCTTGGAAAGGGAGAGGAAGAAGCTTAGCGTAAGCAAATAAAAACTTAATTAAAATTAAAGGCTCACCATTGTATTGGAGGATCACGATCCAGAAAATAAAAATAAAAATTCAAAGACCGGGCAAAAAGAGAAAGTCAAATACAGCGTGCCTTTCCTTCTAACCCTGTAGCCAAAAGGAGGCGTGAACTCCTCTAGACCTATCAAAAGCCGCCCTAGCCCAAGATTGTCAACCAATGGCAAAAGAAGAAGGCAGGCGGTGATTTCCTTTTTCTTTCCTTGGTGAGAATTCAAGGCCCACCTGTTTCCGCTTTTCAGCTCCCTACCCGCCGCGTTGCATCTTGGGATTTGTAGTCTCATCCTCTTTGGGAGTGTAAGATTACTGTACTGTACAGCAATATTACAATATGCTTGGTTTTCCTCTGCAAAATCTCTTATGTTTATATAGCAGCCAGTATTCTTTTCATCATCTCTCTCACATATTCTTGTAAGGAAAAGTTATTTATGCCTTGGGCACTAGCATGTGGAAAAATAAAGCTGAAATGTGAATATATGCAAATACATTTACATAAATGAATCAGACAATTAGCTATGGATTTGTTCAAGAAGCCACAGTGTGTGAATGGAACATAATGAAACAGGGTAACTCTAGGTCAGCTAATGAGTCTCAATCTTATGTATACTGTATTATGTTTTCTTTCCATACTGCTGCTATCCATGTATTTTATGCCATACGCCAAATAAACAAACTGAATATATATTGAAGGCAGCTGGAGGGGAAGATAAGTTGAGATTTTAAACCTGGGGGAAGAAATATCAATAACCTAGATTATAATGATTTTACTATTCTGATAGCTGAAAATACAAATCACCAGAAGTTCTACTAATGAAAGTCAAGGAACCAATGAAACAATGGGACTAAAATTAAATATAAAAGAAGACCAAGTGAATGACAACAGGTGAAACAACCAGCTTTAGCATGACAATGAGGATATCAGAGTGGTGAATAGTTTTTAGGATCAACCACCACCAACAGTGACAGAACAACAGTCAAGAAATATGTAACAGACAAGCAATTGATAGAGCATCTATATAGATCCCGGAAAAGATAATCAGATGCTGTGATGTGTCTCTCCCTATAAAGATAGGAATCATGCGAGCCATGGTCCTCCCTGCATCCCTCCATGAAGCAAAATTTGGACTTTAAAGAAGTAGAATGGGAAGAATATTGATGCCTTTGAACTTTGATGTTGGAGAAGACTCCTGAGAATAATATACACAGGCAAGAAAATGAACAGATGGATCATCAAACAGATCTATCCAGAGTTCTCACTCAAAGCACCAATAAACACATTGTATTCAACTGTTAATAAACTGTATCTGATGAAGTGAGTTATAATTCACAAAAGCAAATCACCTTTAATAAAATCTGTTAATCAGAAAGGGGGCTACCAGACCTTCTGACACATGAAGTAAGCAAGGGACATGTTTGTTTATTTTAGAGGTAAGATATTTACATCAACAAGATCTGCTTTGGGTGAATTTAACTCAACGACTGCTTAGAATAGAATAGAGCTGGAAGGGACCTTGGAGGTCTTCTACTCCAGCCCTCTGCTCAAGTAGGAGGACCTATACTATCTCAGACAAGTAACTGTCTAGCCTCTTCTTAGAAGTCTCCAGTGATGGAGCGCCCACAATTTCTGGAGGCAAGCTATTCCACTGGTTGATTGTCCTCACTGTTAGGAAGTTTCTCCTTAATTCCAGGTTGCTTCTCTTTTTGGTCAATTCCAACTATTGTTTTTTGTCCTGCCCTCTGGTGCTTCAGAGAATAGTTTGACCCCCTCTTCTTTGTAGCAGCCCCTCAAATACTGGAATACTGCTATCATGTCTCCCCTATTTCTTCTTTTCTTTAGACTAGCCAAACCCAAGTTCTGCAGCTGTTCTTCGTATGTTTTAGTCTCCAGGCCTTTAATCATCTTAGTTGCTCTTCTCTGAATTTTTTCGAGACTCTCAACATCTTTTTCGTGATATGGTGACCAAAATTGGCTGCAGTACTCCAGATGTGGTCTTACTAAGGCTTTATAAAGCGGTACTATTGCTTTGCGTGATCTTGATTCTATACCTCTGTTTATACAACCCAGGATTGAATTAGCTTTTTTGGCTGCTGCTGCACACTGCTAGTTTAAGCCAGGTCTTGCCCAATCTGTACTTGTACCTTTGATTTTTCCTGCCTAAATGTAAAACTTTGCTTTTCTCCACATTGAAACTCATTTTGTTGGATAGTGCCCATTGTTCATGAATGTCAAGATCTTTTTGGATCCTGAGTTTGTCTTCTGGGGTGTTGGCTACTCCTGCCAGTTTGGTGTCATCTGCAAATTTGATGAGTTCCCCTTCAATTCCCTCATCTAAGTCATTGATGAAGATGTTGAAGAGAATTGGGCCTAAGACAGAACCTTGTGGTACCCCGCTGCTTACTTCTCTCCATGTGGATGTAGTGCCATTGAGGACTACTCATTGAGTACAGTTTGTCAGCCAACTACAGATCCATCTGTTGGTGATGTTGTCTATTCCATCTTTTCCTAGCTTACCAAGGAATAGGTTGTGCTCTACTTTATCAAATGCCTTACAGAAATCTAAGAATACTACGTCCACAACATTTCGCTGGTCTACTAGTTTAGTCGCTTTATCAAAGAATGAAATAAGATTGGTTTGGCATGATCTGTTTTTAACAAACATTAATTTGTGAAGAGCCCAGTTCCTGTCATTTTTATAAAATAAATTTCCAATTGCCTGCAGTCTCAAAGTCAATAAATGTTATAAATGATGGACAAGACCATGATAGACAAATCAGACATGTAATTAATTTACACATTTGCAAAAAGTGCGTTGATAATAGCTGTTAGCTTAGATGGCCTTAAAAAAAAGCTCTCCCAAATATTTCCGAGTCTTTCTCCTCTGTTCTGTTTTCCACCCACTCTCTTATGGAATTCTGACAGGCTGCAGAGTTGTGTCCTATTGAGTCAGCCTCTGGCTGGGATATCCTTGGTTTGAACTGATGGGGAAAGATGCAGGGTTGCCATGGATACCAGTAATGGGAGGTCCTTGCCAATCTTCACCACTGGATGGAGCTTTAATCTTTTTGCTGAGAAACGGATAGCGTAGTGTGCACCTTAAAAAAAATATAAGACGGGGAGAAAAAAATGGGATTCCATAACCCCTTGCCCATCTCCAGGTATTTCATTGGGATTCTCTCAGATGTGCAAAGATGATTGATCTCTTTAAATGACTGAAAATGAAATTGCTGACAGTTTTAATATACTTGTGTTATCCACATAATTTTACATCAGAATGGTAAACAATAAAGTTTCTAGGTTAAAAACTGTATGTTGAGAATTGAGGTAGGTAAATGTACAGTAATTAGCTCTACGTTCTTCTCATATTTTAGCAAGGAAAACTGGCCAATAATAGATTTGGGACAGATAAAAAGGTTTTTTTAAATTCAAATAATTAATTTACACATTTGCAAAAAAAAAAGTGTGCTGACAATAGCTGATCAAGGAGAGAAGCAATCTAGAACTAAGGACTTTGAAGGACTGTCACTCTTGTTAATTGGTCACCTTGTTGGACGGAGGTCTTCGCCACTTACGAGGTTGTGACCTTCAAAAATTCTTCTCTGACCTGTCGGTAAACAGGCTTTACCATATCCCAAAGGACGGACTCGTTCCCCAACCTGATCTACTGGAAGTTCCAGCCTTCCAACTTTACTATTATTATTATTATTAAATGACTACAGTTTGAGGCCTATTAGACATGAAAGCCAAATATGAAAGGTAAGGATAGGAGACCTTCACTCCATCAAAACCTCTCAACCTTATGGACACATTCTTGCAGATTCCACGGCAACAAGATAGAAATACTTTCCTATGTACTTCTTTCAGGGTTTTTTGTTTAAACTTCCAAGGGATCTCCTGGTGGTGTTTTATCCAAGTACCCACAAAGTTTGAAGCTGTTTCACTTCCTAGTCCAGTCTGAAATGAAAACTAAATAGAATCTCCATTTTCAGAAGCAGCAAGTCATTGAAAATCAGTTACTGCAGCCAAGAAAAGGCCTGAACAAATGTCTTGTTTAGATACATAGAAGGTAGATGAGAAAGAAAGAGAGAGAGAGATGATAGATATAGATCAATGGCGGCGAACCTATGGCATGGGTGCCAGAGGCAGCACTCAGAGCCCTCTCTGTGGGCACACACACCGTCCCCCAGCCCCGCCACACACACACCCGTGGCCCCCTGCTCCCCAGCAACCCCCTTGGAGGAGAGTTGCCCTGGGCGCAGCCTGTGCAGAGCAGCGCAGCCAAGCACATGGCAGCTGGGCAGCAGGGACAAGACTCCGCCCTCGCACCCCATCGTGTACAGATGCTGCCGGGTGCGGACAGAGGGCATGGCCGCCATGACACTGCTGGGCTGCCTGGGCAATCTGCTGTGGTAGGCCGTGAAGGTGGTGGGTGGCCCTGCGGGCAGGAGATGCAGGGATGGGGAAAGGGTGAGGCGGTTTTGGGGCACTCGGTCTCTAAAAGGTTCGCCATCACTGATATAGATAAACAGACAGACAGACAGACAGACAGACAGATGTGTGTGTATATAAGTACCTATGTAAGTGATGTGGTTTTTTTTTCTACAGGCAGAACAGCTTTTTCTCCAGACTTCTCTGGTGCCTCTAACAGCTTCTAGTCTCTAGGGGCTGGGCTGATGGGATTTGGTGTCCCTGGAACTAATCAGAAGGACTTGAGAACCTCTATCAGTCCTAGACAGTGTCGAATTTTCATTTCATAGTAGACAAAAAGCAGAAGATGAATGTGTGTTTTCCCCTTTCTTCCCCCGTCTCCGCTTCTCCCCATCAGACCTTCTCTGGGCACAGCCCCCAAAGCACCCCTTTTCCAAATTGTGCCTGAAGCCTCCCCCCCTCTTTAGCCCCCTCTCCGTTTGTCTCCTGATTGGGTCATAAATTAACTTCAGCATCCAACAATGCTAGACTCTTGAAGCAGTATCTTCTTCACTCAGTTGGGTCTCTGTTTTTAAAAGGGAGCTGGAGGAGAG